GGATGTCGCTCGTACGTCCATGATGCATGCGGCTGCCCCCCATTTTCTGTGGCCGTTTGCGGTGAGGTACGCGGCGCATCAGCTCAACCTTCACCCCCGGGTCTCTCGGCCTGCGATGTCCCCAGTCTTGCTGTGGACAGGGAAGGTTGGCGATGCGTCTGTGTTCCGTGTCTGGGGATCTCGGGCGTTTGTCCGCGACTTGTCTGCGGACAAGCTGTCCCCTCGTGCTGCTCCCTGTGTCTTTCTTGGCTTCCCCACTGACGCCCCAGGGTGGCAGTTTTACCACCCCTCCTCTCGTCGTGTTCTGTCCTCCCAGGACGTCACGTTCGACGAGTCAGTCCCCTTCTACCGTCTCTTCCCCTACCGCACTACTTCCCTCCCCCCTCCCCCGGACTTCCTTGTGCCGGTTCCCCCCCCGGTAGACCCCCTCCCCCCTCAGGTTCCTGCCCCCTCAGGTGTGTCCCAGGTAGACGCCGTTGACCCGGTCGAGGTTACTGGTGCTGACTCTGGGGGTACTGTGCGCGGGGGTGCTGTGCCTGGGGGTGCTACTGCTGGGGGTGCTGGGCCTGAGGGTGCTACTGCGGTGGGTGCGGAGCCTGGGGGTGCTGAGCCGGGGGGTGCTGTGCCTGGAGCTGCTGAGCCTGGGGGTGCTGAGCTGGGAGCTGCTGAGCCTGGGGGTGCTGCGTCTGGAGCTGCTGAGCCTGGGGTTTCTCCTGCTGCTGCGTCTCGCCGGGAGCCCCTCTCTCCACAGGAGCTGCGCGAGTGGTTCGCTCGCCGCTGGAGGCGTGCTGCTGAGTCTGGAGGTGCTGCTGGAGCTGGAGCTGGAGCTTCTTCGATCGTCGAGGGTGCGGGTGCTGCCGGTCCCGGAGCTGCTGGACCTGCGGGTCCTCCTGGAGCTGGAGCTGCTGAGGGCGTTCGTGCTGGGCCTGCTGCTGTTGGTCCTGCCGCTGGAGGTGTGGGTGGCGCTGGTGCTGTCGCTGAGGGTGCTGGTGCTATCCCTGCTGAGACTGGAGCTGCCGCGCGGCCTCGGCCGTACTTCGTTCCGCTCCTTCAGCAGGTTCTTGGTCTTTCTCCTCCAGTAGAGGGTCCACCGCCTGTCCAGTCGCAGTCCCTACTGGAGCCTTCCTCTCCACTGCCTGCTCCCTCTCCTTACACTGGTCCTACTGGAGGTCTTGCTGAGCGTCGTGAGCCTGCGTCTCGCCCCGCGTCGCCTGTTCGTGCTGCTCGCGCTAGTGGTCGCGGTTCGCGTCAGCGTCCTCCTCCTGTCCCTGGCACGCACCGGATGTCTCTGCGTCCGTCCACTGCTCCTCTGCGTGCCCCTTTGCCTTCTCCTCCTGAGTCCTCTCTTCCTGCGCTTGCCGACCCTGAGTCGGACTCTCTTCGCGCTGCGAGTCCTACTGTCACGCGTCTGCTTGCTACTGTCGTCACTGACCCCTCTTTTGAGTCCACTGCTGCGTCTGCTCTAGTCGCTGAGCTCGTCGACTTTGCTGCTCGCTGTCGTCTCGACTACGCTGCTAGTCTTGTTGCTGAGTCTGCGTCTGTCTGTCCTCCGTCCGTCGGGGGTGAGTGTGCTCTTGGCACGGACGTCCTAGAGGACAGGCAGGAGGAGTTACAGTGTCTAGCGGCTGCTTCACCTCATCTCGCGTCTGTACTGCTTGCCCCTGAGGGAGACCCGGATGCACTAGACATCCCGACTCCGCGTTCTTACGCGGAGGCCGTAGAGGGCCCCTACTCCTCTCAGTGGCAGGCAGCCATGGATGCAGAGATGGCTTCCTGGAAGTCCACAGGCACCTACGTTGACGCTGTTCCCCCTCCTGGGGCGAACATCGTCAGTGGCATGTGGATCTTCAGGGTGAAGCGGCCGCCGGGCTCTCCACCTGTCTTCAAGGCACGGTACGTTGCTCGTGGCTTCAGTCAGCGGCAGGGAGTTGACTACTTTCAGACCTTCTCTCCCACCCCGAAGATGACTACTCTTCGGGTGCTGCTGCACATAGCCGCTCAGCGCGACTACGAGCTTCACTCTCTCGACTTCAGCACTGCGTTCTTGCAGGGTAGCCTGCACGAGGAGATCTGGCTTCGCCGTCCACCTGGCTTCACTGGGACTTTCCCTCCTGGCACCCAGTGGAGCCTCAGACGGCCAGTCTACGGTCTCCGCCAGGCACCGCGTGAGTGGCACGACACACTGAGGACTACGCTTGCGGCTCTTGGGTTTGCTCCTTCTACTGCTGACCCGTCGCTGTTTCTTCGCACCGACACTTCCCTGCCGCCGTTCTACATCCTCGTGTACGTCGACGACTTGGTCTTTGCCACAGCGGACACTGCTGGACTCGCCTACGTGAAGTCCGAGCTGCTGAAGAGACACACGTGCACAGACCTGGGTGAACTGCGCAGCTACCTTGGCTTGCAGATCACTCGGGACAGAGCACGCCGCACCATTACCTTGACTCAGTCACACATGGTGCAGCAGGTCCTTCAGCGCTTCGGCTTCACGTACTCCTCGCCTCAGGCCACTCCTCTGCCTACTCGCCACTCACTCTCAGCTCTGCCTTCGGATGAGTTCGTAGAGTCGAGTGGTCCGTATGCAGAGCTTGTTGGCTGCCTCATGTACCTGATGACCTGCACACGACCTGACCTTGCATACCCTCTGAGCATTCTTGCACGCTATGTTGCTCCTGGGAGACACAGACCGGAGCACATGGCTGCAGCGAAGAGGGTATTGCGCTACCTGTGCAGTACGTCAGGCATGGGGCTAGTGCTTGGAGGGCGGAGTCCAGTGGTCCTTACCGGCCACGCGGACGCTTCTTGGGCTGACGACCAGGCTACGCAGCGGTCGTCACAGGGTTACACCTTCAGCCTTGGTTCCGGCTCTGTCTCGTGGCGGTCTACTCGCTCGTCTTCGGTTCTCGGCTCCAGTTGTGAGGCTGAGATCTACGCCGGAGCCATGGCTGCACAGGAGCTTCGCTGGCTCACCTACCTGCTGACTGACCTTGGAGAGCCGCCTCGTTCTCCTCCAGTGCTGTACGTAGACAACAAGGCTATGCTGGCCTTGTGTCGAGAGCAGCGCTTGGAGCACAGAACGAAGCACATTGCTCTCCGCTACTTCCTTGCTCGTGAGCTGCAGCAGCGTGGTCAGTTGCGACTTGCGTACGTGGCCTCTGAGGCCAACACTGCTGATGTGTTCACCAAGGCACTTGCGCCTTGTGACCATCAGCGCTTCTGCACCCAGCTGGGTCTTGTGCCTGTCTTGCCTCACTTGCTCTCCTCTTGACTTTACTTGTACTGTGACATATATATATACCTGCTCTTGCTTGTCTAGTTTTATATATATATGTCTGTACTCTTGCTTGTGAACTGGCCTTTGGCCTTGCTCTTGTGCTCGGATTGTGTGGTGACTTTGTGATCCACCCTGAGCTTTGCTTTGTCTTGCTTGACTGGTCTTGTGACCCCTTGTTCTCCCCCACTTTGCCTATGGGGGTGTGTCAGAACATGTCTATAGCTTATACTGCTGTGTAGGCTGTAGTGGGGTATCCCATAGGGGGTACAACCCAGTTAGGGTTTCACATTTGTACTGCTTTCACTCATAGTTCACCTCATTCCTGCTTACTCATTTCACACGCGTAAGGGCCTGGGCGGGGCCGCGACAGAGCCGTCGGCGGGGCCGCGTGAGAGCCGGCGACGGGGCCTCGTAAGGGCCGGCGGCGGGGCCCCGTCAGAGAGGGCGGCGGGGCCACGTCAGTGAAGGCGGCGGGGCCGCAGGGGAAATGGCGACCCGAGGGGTCGCTAAAAAAAAAAAATCGCGCCTCGGGGGGCGCTTCGGTGGGCCAAAAAAAAAAAAACGGTCCGTAGAAGGACCCGCTCTATACCATGTGAGAATAAGCGAACAGGAATGAATGAACTAGAAGTGAAAATGAGTACAAGTAGTAAACCCTAGAATTGTGTACCCCCTATAGGCTAACCCACTGTAGCCTACACAAGCATAACATATATAATGTTTGACATATATGATCGGGGATTCATATCTCTATGCGCGGATTGGTCAATCATTGGACCGAAAATGAGCGCGACTGTTCGCCGAACATGATCGCGTCGATTATTGTCGTGTATTCGAACGATGATGTGGCCGCTCTCGCGCACGTCACTCAGCCGAAAAAATGGGGCGGAAAAACACACGCCACGTTTTTGCGGGAAGAGTTACGAACGACGTGAGAAAAGCAGGGCTAAAAACCGGTTTTGGGTAATGTGCTGGATAAAAAAAAAGCCAGAGGAAACCTCTGGCAAGACCACTCGAGCAATTATCATCAAATTGTCCGACTACGTTAGCAAATTGAGCCTACGTGTGCAACGGCAAATCACCGTTTCCGGGTCTGGAGAAAATCTCTCGCTTCTTCCTGTCTGTGTTCTTCACTTGTACACATGATGCCCGACCAATGCACGCGAAATTGCCATGCACCGGATGGAAACGCTGCACCCGAGCTGGAAACCCCTGCTTGCTGCTCCCACAGTACAAGCACATGGATGGCTGGCAACAGTACACGAAACTCAGCCATCAATGCACGTTCATTCCCGAACAAGCCACGCTACCCCACTTTCCCTTTGTTTCTAGGCCAGGAGTCAGAGAGGCGAACTGAATGGACGAAAAAGCACAGGTTTCGTGAACGCATTCGCCCATCTGGGCCGCCACCTGAGCAAGGATCATCGTGCGTGTAACAGGCAGTTGGTCAGATTAACCCTGCCACGTGTATATCGGGACCTGCACGGTACACGCGCATTACCAGCCAGGCGTTGTTCGCCCGACCCACGTCAGACAACCGAGGGTGTGGTTACCAAACCAGTTGCTAAAAAATGCAAGCCAGGTGCATGGAACGAACACCAACCACACAAATGTGACATTCAACAACGAACAGGCCCCAGTCTTGCCCAGCACGCCCGACCTGTGATGATAAAATGTGTGCAACTAATTCACTAAGTCACCTCTGTCTCTCACACCCCAGTCGCACACAATGCCCCGTTTTAACCGACGAGAGCAGCTCCCGCTGCATATCAAGCGCGCTATTTGCGTTCACCACGTAGACAGCCCCCGCCTGCGTCATGTCGACCTGGCTAGGTGGTGTTACTCGCAGTACGGATTGCGGCCAGATCGTTCCACTGTCGGCCGCATCTTGAAGAGCGCCGAGCTCTGGGATGTTACGGCCGCTATTGACAACCAGATGCGCCGTCGAGGTGGCGCATGGCCTGAGCTGGAGCAGGCCATGGCGCGGTGGATCGCAAACGCAGGGCCCGCTGGCGTGCCTCTGACGCTGCAGACCATCCGCGACCATGTCGCCACGATGGCACGGAACATGGGCATTCCGCCCACATTCCGATGCTCCATAGGCTGGGTGCGCCGTGCTTTGAGGCGCCAGGGAGTGAGGTGCCGGGCAGCACAAGGCGAGGCGGCTAGTGCGGACATGGCCGCCGTGCGGGACACACGTGAGAAGCTGCCGCAACTCCTCACGCATCTCGGTGTCACACCGCGGGACATGTTCAACATCGACGAGACGGCGCTCTGGCTGTCGGTCCTCCCTCGGCGCACGTACAGCAACGGTCGGATTCCGGGCCGCAATCTGTCGAAAGAGCGGCTCACTGTGGCATTCCTCGTCAATGCTGACGGGAGCCACGTCTTCCGACCGCTCGTCATCAGTAAGGCTAAGCGGCCGCACGACTTCCGCCCGGATTATGACCCGGAGTCCCTTTGCTACTGGCGGCACAACACCAAAGGCTGGATGACCTCGCCGGTAAGCACTCGGGCATGCTTCGCAAGTATTACGAGTAATAGCGCACTTTACTGTAATGTGTTAAACATATTAAAATTCACTTGTACATTCCGCCTTCCCCCCCAATTCCCCTTTATACAGTTATTCACGCATTTCATATCGCAGCTCAATGCTGCCATGTACGCCGAAAATCGCAAGATTTTGGTGCTGCTCGACAACGCGAGCAGCCACATGCTCCGCTCACAGCTCGCGTGGAGCGAGATCGTCTGCGGGATGCGGACGACCTGCATGAGCAACTTGCGGCTCGTTTTCTTGCCGCCGAATACCACCGCCTTCACACAACCGCTCGATCAGGGCATCATAGCCACCGTAAAAGCCCGCTACCGACAGCATTGGGTGCGGGCCTTCACGGCCTTGTGGAACGGCGAGGGCGCGACTACCGCCGTCGCCCGGTTCCGCCCCAATTTGCGCGATGTCCTCGCGTGGCTGTCAGACGCGTGGATGTCTGTCGGCGAGCGCACCATTCAACGGTGCTGGTGGCGCACGGGGTGTCTGCCGCTGTCATGGTCCCTGGAGCTGTCGCATGTACACGACGATGAGCCCACCCCTGCCGTCTACCCCGACATCGAGCTCGACGACGACATCGATGATGTCGGGACTCTGATCAGCGGGCTCGCACTCGGGAATGCGGCGATGACGGCCGCAGAGTACGTCGCCATCGACGACGGCGAGCCGACCAGCGCTGAGGGACAGCCTCCGAACGAGCCGGAGTCGGGCGTAGACGCCGAGCTCTGGCAGGCGCCGACTACCATTCCAGCCGTCTACGACGACGCCGACCCAGTGTGCCGCGAAGCGCGCCGCACAGCCCGGGCGGCATGCGAAACGCTTATAGGATACGCTCGGGCCACCCGCATCACGCCGCGCAATCTGTGCCATCTATTCGATATACGCAACCCCTTTATAATCGCGCGGATGGAGCGGGCTAGCCCGTCGTTGAACCTCAACGTGGCGCCTCAGCCCGTACCCTCCCCGGGCGCAACTCCCACGCCCGAGACCCCTCGTCCGCGCGGTCGGGTGCTGCCCGACTGGATGACCCGCCCGTCTCGCCGTCAGGAGCTGTTTGACGCCGGTGTGGGCGCCGTGATGGGCGGGTATGTGGACGCGGCTGAGTGGATGCGTATGTGAGGGTGGGGGTGGAGCAGACTTCGCAAGGTGTCGAATGCATTTTGATGAGAGCTCAAGTGTTCACTCCTTGTGCACATTTGTGAGTGTTTCGTTTTGTGTGTTGAATGGAGATGAGCTCCCAGGTGGAGGATGCTGATTGGAAGGTGTTCGTGTTTTACCTGTTTTGTACTACGAAGAACAATTGTTGCACATGCTTCTTTCGGTACTGTAGCGTTCGTTTAGTAACCACAAACACACAACATGGACAAGTGCTGCAACCCCATACTGTTGCAAATGAGACAAACATGGTGGTTACCATGATCAGTTTAGAAGCACGCTGGATGCCTGACGAAATTCACGAATACCCACGAAATGCAGTTTCAGCTTACAGTCCCAGTGGACAAGGCAACCGGGAGGGGCTCTAACGAGCATCAGCTGTATTTTGCTGCAGTTGCGACTCGATGGGCCAGAGGGTGTTATGAGAAACATACTGACTTCGGGTAACCCTTGATGGACTACGGATGAAAAAGGGTAGAATTTTCACGGGTCCGGAAATTTACGGATGTTTACGTGGGGGCCCCGGAGGTCTCAAAAAACGGAAAAGTAGCCCTGGTCCGGACAAATCCGCTCCTCCAAGTCGTAAGCGTCCCAGGAAAGCTGATTGGCAGATTGCTCATTACAAGCTTACCAGAATCACACCCTTGCGAGAAAATGCGATAGAAATACGCTGACGCTCCTGCTCTTTGTATTTGTGACATACTGACGAGTCCGGAGTACCGAGTCCTGAGGCGATAATCGCTGTCACCCTTCGAAGTAGACCTTTCTCCATCACCCTTCGACGGTAGCATGGAGCACTGCCGAGCTGATTCTTTCCGCGGGTCGCGCAAGCGATCGCGAGATCAAGACCATGAGCTGCGGCACGGGGGATTTTCAAGCACCGCAAAACGCGGTTCAGGACACGCCAGGATGGTGTTTGCAGAAAGGTAGGCTCCACTGGATGCATACCTGAGTAACGGAAGGGCGAGAATGGGGCGGTGTGAAGGGGAAGGAGAGAGGAGAGTGGTGCAGCGGCAAAAGTTAGTTCTAGGATTTCGCTTGTACGACACACTCTGTGGAGGCCGTGCCGCGCGATTCTTGTGATGTAACTCCTGTATGAATCTCAATAAAAACCCTCTGATTCCCACACCGTTCCGTGGTCACTACAAATGACTCCTTCCTGTGCAAATCATGTTGCATTCAGCCGCAAATCCTGCAAATCCCGAGCTCCAAGGGCCGTCGGGACATGTAAGATCGAGATCCTGATCAGCTTGATGCTTCTGGGAACCTTCAAGCAACTGGAAACCTCGAACAACCTCCGCACCAGAGCATGGACCTCGCATGGACCGGCTCTCAACTTCACCCGAGAAAAGGAGGCTCGGGATCTTAAGGAAATCGACCCGAGACACCTGAGAGTCGGCATGAGACACCTGAGAGTCGGCATGAGACACCTGAGAGCCGGCATGAGACACCTGAGAGTCAGCATGAGACACCTAAGTGTCGGCATGAGACACCTGAGAGTCGGCATGAGACACCTGAGAGTCGGCATGAGACACCTGAGAGTCAGCATGAGACACCTGCGAATCGGCATGAGACACCTGCGAATCGACCTGGCAGTGGCAGCGGTGGAGCGGACCGTCACGTTGACGGCAAGAAAGTGCGCGTGGTGCAGTATCCGTATAAACCGCTGCTGCCACGGGACGGGTTCAGCTGGGTCAAGTACGGGTAGAAGAAACTCACCACGGGCGACAACATGATCAGGTGCGGCTCCGATCCTCTTTTGGTCTTTGTCTTGCCTGTCTTTTGAACCGCACTGTGCCGCTCGTCCCCTCTCGGGTCAATCGCCCACTTTAAGAAGTTTAGCAGTGCTGCCATTTGCTGCTTCTCCCCTGTATGCTGATTCCTTCCACTCATGCGTCCACCACGCTCCTCCCTGCGCTTCCTGCTCTCCTCTCTCCCTCCCACCCATGATGCCTGTAGGCTCTACTTCCAGTGCGGCCTGCGCACGTCCCACGCCTGCCCCGCACGCCGCACGGTGGACCTCAGCTGCTGGGACCCCTCCGCGCCTCTGGTGCTCAACTACCACTGCACGCACAACCACTTGCCGCACTACCACGTCGTTGGTGCTGCTACTACCTCTCCTGCGCCTCTGCCCAAGGACCGCTCAGTCAAAGTCCGCTCAGTTAGAACGAGGGGTTCTGCTGCTGTGCCTGCTGGTGCTACCGCTGCTGCTGCTGCAACTGCTGCTGCAGATGGTGCCGACAACAGCATGGCGAGCAAGCGAGCGGCTGTTAAGGAGGAAGCAATCGCGGCAAATGGGACTATTGGCAGACCGCTGCGATGCCCGCCGTCGTTCCTGCCAGCCCTCGCTTCCATCCCAGTCAGCGGTGCCACTTGGAAGGATAACTCCGATCGTGCACCCTCCCGCCCTTCTTCCAATGCATCGTCTTCGTCCGGGCACGCTCCCGCCTCGGCTGTGGCAGATTTGCGGGCGGCACTGGAGGCACTGCTCAGTGGATCACCTGTGCCTGCTGTCGCTCCCACGCCTACTCCTGCTTCCTCTGATAAGCCTGTGCATGCGAGGGAGAGTACGGTGTCTCCTTTGGGGAGTCGTGCGGCCGCTGCTGCTCCCTCGCCTGCTCCTGCCTCCTCTGATAAGCCTGCGCATGCGCGGGAGAGTATGGTGTCTCCTTTGGGGAGTCGTGCGGCCGCTGCTGCTCCCTTGCACCCTCAGTCGCACCAGTTACCAGCTGAGGTGATTACAGCGTTGACGCTGCTGGTGCAGTCCGCACTGGCGGAAGGAGGGCACGTGGGGGCAGAAGAATCTGAGTCTGTTCCGGCTGAAGGCACGCCACAGCAGCAGCAGCAGCAGCAGCAGGAGGAGGAGGAGGAGTTACCAGGATTGGAAGACACAGACTGCCTCTTTCCAGCCGCTCCCCTGACGCCGGCCTTCCAGAATCCCACGAGTTGCCCTCCGCGGAGTTTCTGTAGATCAGAAAACCTGGACGACGCTGGTTACTTTCAGGAGATGAGCCCTGGTGGTGGCGCTGCTGCCGCTGATACTCTTGCTGCTGCTGCTGAACTACACATGGTGAATTGGGAGAAGTCATGCGACGTTGAAGGAGACCTGCTTGGGGATGCACTCACATGGCCCAGTGATTCGCCTGATGCCTGTCAACTGCTCACCTTGGATTCTGTGGCGCAGATTAAAGCGCCTTCTTTGTTCCCATGCCAAAATTCCAGTGACACTCTACCGGCTGATACGGTGGTGGACGAACAGCTTACGACTGCAAGCCAGCAGCAGCTTGTGATTTGTGAAGATGCGCGTGGAGCAATTCAAGTTGCTGCGCGTCCCGTTTGTGAACCTTTGTCTGGCTGCCAAGGTTTTTCCAAGGCGCCATTGGATGTTGGTGAACATGTCCAGCTTGTTTTTTTGGCGACTTGTGGGTTGACGGATTCACTTGGAAGCTCAGGACAGCACTCATGCGAACAATTGGACGAGATTTTGCGTTGTATTAGCCCATCATCGAGTGTTTCTGGTAGTTTGGACGAGCTTTATGATGGAGAGGGTTGGTAGTTTCTCTTGTTCTTGCTTCGTTAATGAAATGAAGGGTTCCTTCTTGGTGTACTGCTGATTCTTTCTGTTCAACGAATTGATGGACAACATCGAGGTAAGCCACGTGTGCAAAGATTCCCTCCATTTGTGAACGCTCTGACAGCAAAAAGCGCAAAGCTCCTCTCCTTGAGATCTGCCAAGACACGTCATCAGGCGGTCTCTTCCACCATCACCGTTTAGCCAATCAACGAGCGCTTCGTGTCCTCCACCCTCTGGGCGCAACACAGCACACACCTTCCTTGGCGCCGCCTAGCTTGGCCCACCTTCCTTCGATGTTGTCACCTTTCTCTCTCTTCACTCTGCCCTTTTTGTACTCACCCCTCTCCCGCCATTCCCAATGCTCCCTTGCCTTTATTTCTGTGCTCTCTCGGCCTGCGTTCCGTAGGTATCTTGGCCTGATCGTTGGTTATGTCAGGCCATAATTCCTCGTGAAGCTTCCGCTTCGATTTTGGAGATTCTGATCGTCTGCTGTGAAGCTATTGTGTTTCTAGATCTCTTGCGTGGTTGTTGCATTTGATCCATCTCTGGTTGACCAGGCATCCACGCGAGAGACTAGGCCATGCGTTTATTGTCGTGATTTCCGGGTATAGAAGCATCGCGTGGACCCCTTTCTTTCACTGCGACGTCCAGCGAATTTCTGACATGACGAAGATTAGCAAACACGTTTGATGATTACAGCATCCGCGATATTGTACTATAACCGATAGTGGTTTTGCGCTTCGCCACAATGCTTCTTCGGCCAAGCTGCAAAGGACCTTACCAAGTAGTCCCGTCTGGGTCCCCTTCGTTGATCGGAGGATTTTCGAAACAGATAAGCACTACTTGCAATCGTAACCCAGGTGGCCTTGCATCTAACCCTATCGCTATCCAAACCGCCGATTCATCCACTCAATACCCTCGATCCGCCAGGTCGTACCGTCTGATTTGTAGCAGTCGACAATGCAGTGGCGGAGATTTCTCCCCGTTGACACGTGTCATTGGGGGAGGGTTACGTCATCAACAGAAAGACGGAGGCGTGTTCCGACCTGCTGTAACAAATCTTGACAATCGACGGCGGAGTTCGACTCAATTTTCGAAGACGTATGCAAGGATCGGGACTCATGTAGCTTCATGCGTAAACTCAGCCGTAGGAGAAACGAGGTCAGGTGACGATGATGATGGGGCAGCTTTAAGAGACAGCAGCAGCAACAGCAGCAGCTGCAGCATCAGCAGCGATGGCTCTACCTTTAGGAATATTCCGAACGAAGGGTCGGCGCCTGTAGCAGCACCAGACGGGACCGTTGCATGGGGTATCATTGCAAGGCGAGTGGCCGTCCTTGTGGTTTCCGCTGCAGTGTGCCTGACAGCCGTTCTAGCCTGCCGGCCAGTTCTAGCAGCGGAATCAGCCTCGGCATCCGCATCGCCGATCCTCCCTGCCTCGGCCGGAGCTCTGGTGTCGGATCTGACGCAGCGGGCTCGGGTATGGAGCGTGGGAGCGAAGCCGTCGATGATACAGCTGCTCAAGGTGCTGCGGGAGCAAGGCGTGCTGCTGGCGGTTCTGCTGAGCCTCTCCGCTTTTTTCTCCATGGCAGAAACATCTATCACCACGCTCTGGCCGTGGAAGGTGGGAGCTGGGATGGGAAGGGTGGGGTACGGTAATAAGGGGTTGATTTTTGTTGCTTCTAGGGCTAACCGTTTTCTTCTCCATGGCGGAAACGACCATCACCACGCTCTGGTCGTGGAAGGTACGAGCACTCAGATCATGCCACTCAGATCATGCCGCTCAGATCATGCCGCTCAGATCATGCCGCTCAGATCATGCCGCTCAGATCATGCCGCTCAGATCATGCCGCTCAGATCATGCCGCTCAGATCATGCCGCTAAGATCATGCCGCTCTGTGCGTGACCCACATTCCCTCCCTCCGCGCCACCAGTTTGCCTGATCCGCACTCCCTCCCCTCCGCTCCCTCCTCTCATCAGGTGCGCGAGTTGGCGGAGAAGGAAGGCAGTGTGTTCCAGCTGCTGCGTGGGGTCCTTCCCCCCTTGGCCTGATCCACATGCCCTCCCTTTGTTCGCAATTGCTGTTCCCTTCGCACCCCTGGTCAGGTGCGCGAGCTGGCGGAGAAGTAAAAGGAGGGCAGTGTATTCGAGCTGCTGCGTGGGGCCATGCTCCCCTTGGCCTGATCCACACGCTCTCCCTTTGTTCGCAATTGCTGTTCCCTCTGCGCGCACCCGTGTTCTCTCCCTCCGCATCCCTGTTCCCTTCCCTCCCTCCTCTCGCCAGGTGCGCGAGCTGGCGGAGAAGGAGAAGGAGGGCAGTGTGTTCCAGCTGCTGCGGCGGGACGTGACTCGCTTCCTCACCACCATCCTCATCGGCACCACGTAATGCCACTTTCTCCCTTTCCTCGCCCTCTTATTCCTCACACATACTCTCTTCTTCCTCACGCATACCTCTCTTCTTCCTCACACATACTCTCTTCTTCCTGCCTCACCACCATCCTCATCCACACCACGTTCCGCCCTTTGTCGTCTCCTTTCTGTCATTTCCACCCGAACACTGTCTGCAACCTGCTTCTGCCGTTCAGTCGTAGCACCTTTGCGCCCCCCATACCACTCTTTCAACCCTCACACGCTGTTGCTGCTGACTCGTAGCACCTCTGCACCCCCCATGCCACCCGCACATCTCTCCTTCCTACTTCATCACCACTGGCATTTGAAGGTATCCGCGTTTGCCTGCCATCTGCCATCTGTTCGTTCAACCCTCATACACCTCCTCTCCCCTCTTCTCGCTTCCTCTTCTCCCCTCAACCCCTACCTTCTCTTGCCCTGCCGCCAGCTTGGTGAACATTTGGGCAACGGCTTTGGTCACAGACGCCGCTACAGCGCTCTTTGGGGAGGCAGGGGTCAGCGCTGCTACAGGCGTGATGACGGTACGTGCTGTGGTGCTGCCACAGCCGTGATGCTTCAAACCTTGCCGACCCACGTGTTCATCCCGCCTTCTCGCTTCCCTCTTGACCCGTTCACATCCGCACTCTCTGATTTATGTCTCTTCGCATTCTCACCTCCCCCGACCCCTCCCCGCTTTGCCCTTGCCCCCGCACCCTTACTGCGTCATCAGATCCTGCTGCTGGTCTTCACAGAAATTGCCCCCAAGTCCATCGCCTTTCCCCCTACACCCTTTTTGCCCTCCCTACCTCCCCGTGCACCCTTTCTGTCCTCCCTGCACCCCCGTGCCCCTGCTTCTGCCCGTGCCCCCGCATCAGATCCTGCTGCTAGTCTTCACAGAGATTGCCCCCAAGTCCATCGCCGTGCACAACGTTTGAGGCATCTCAATTGTCGCCCTTACTGTCCCCCCTTGGCCCCTATGCCATTGCTGCACCCCCTGCCTGCCCCCGCGCCCATCAGATCCTGCTGCTCGTCTTTACAGAGATTGCCCCCAAGTCCATCGCCGTGCACAACGCCACACAAGTCGTCCGTGTCGTGGTATGCACTTTATACTTGGTGGTATGCCCTCCAACTGTCGTGCTATGCATTTCTCTACCAGTTCCTACCCCGTTCCCCCGCTTTCCCTCCTGCCCCCTCTCGCCCCCTCCCGCCCCCTCCCCCCCCTCTCCCTCACGCCTCCCCCACTCCCGCCCTATTCTCCCTCTCTCCCTCCCTCCTCTCTTGTCTCTTCTCTTCACTCGCTCATTCTCAGTCCATCCTGTCAACCTTTTCTCCCTCTTCCTCCCGCCCACCCTCGCACCAGCTGCGTCCAGTGGCGTGGCTGTCAGTCGTGCTCTACCCCGTGGGTCGCCTCTGCACCTATGCTTCCACGGGCCTCTTCCGCCTCCTCGGCCTCAAGACCAGCGGGTCAGTCAGTCCACGTTATGGCAATGCTTTCAGCACCGACTCAGGAAAGCCAAAGCGCGTCTGCGTGTGTCGCTGCTCCCCTGTGTGCCTTGAATTGTCCGTTCATTTCTGCCTGCCAGGGAGGGAGCCGTTCGTGAAGCAGAAGGAGCTGAAGCTGGTGCTGAGGGTGTGACTCTGAGACGTCTCACGGTCTCACCCATCTGTGCTTTCCTGTGCGTGTTGTACTGCCACGTGTCTCGTCTTGTATGATGCATCACCATGTGTGTGCTTTATCATCAGAGAACCGTTCGTGACAGAAGAGGAGCTGAAGCTCATGCTGAGGGGGGCGGAGATGAGTGGCGCTATTGAGGAGGAGGAGCAGGTGAGGGGGAGTAGAGGGGAGGGCTGTGGAATAAGAGTGGCGGAACAAGGGCAAGGGACAAGGGTTGGGGAACAAGTGTGGGGGATTAGGCGGATCAGGGAGTAGTGCCATACGCTCATGCTGAGGGGGGCGGAGATGAGTGGCGCTATTGAGGAGGAGGAGCAGGTGAGGGGGGAAAGGGGGTGTGTTGCAGTAAGCATGGCAGAATATGGTGGGTGGCAGAATATGCGGAATAGGGAGAAGCGCCATAAGCTCATGCTGAGGGGGGCGGAGATGAGGTGGCGCCATCGAGAAGGAGAAGGCGAGCGGGGCAGGGGGGATTTGAAATGGCAAGTGAGGAGTGCAAGGCTGGGCGGTGTGGACAAAGAGGGTATGGTACGATACACAGCAAGCCAGCCCCTATTTCCCATTCCCCCACCTCCAGTTCCGCACCTCCCATTCTCCCACCTCCCATTCCCCCACCTCCCATTCCCCCACCTCCCATTCCCCCACCTCCCATTCCCCCACCTCCCATTCCCCCACCTCCAGTTCCGCACCTCCCATTCCCCCACCTCCAGTTCCGCACCTCTCATTCCCCCACCTCCCATTCCCCCACCTCCAGTTCCCCACCTCCCTCTCCCTACCAGGACAAAATAGAGAACTTGCTGGAAATCAAAGGCAGGCACCTATGTCCGTGAAGTCATTTTGAGTCGACTCAAAAGTCAATCCGTGAAGTCATGACCCCCCTGGTCTGGTTGCCGTGCTGGCTGTGAGCTCGTCCGCGTCCCTCATGGAGCTGCGTGCGCTGTGGGTGCGCCACCAGTAGTAGTACTCACTCCCCCACCTCCCAACCCCCATTTCCCACCGCCCACCTCCCATTCCCCACCTCCCACACCCCCTGTCCCTCACAGGACATGATCGAAAATGTGTTGGAGATCAAGGATACCTATGTGCGTGAGGTGATGGCCCCTCTAGTCGACGTGATGGCGGTGAGCTCCTCCGCGTCCCTCATGGAGCTGCTCGTGCCCTTTCCGCTCCTCCTCTCCCCCACATCACAGGATATGATTGAAAATGTTCTCGAGATCAAGGATACCTACGTGCGTGAGGTGATGACCCCTCTGGTCGACGTGGTGGCGGTGGGCTCGTCTGCGTCGCTCATGGAGCTGCGGGCGCTGTGGGTGCGCCACCAGTACTCGCGTGTACCTGTCTATGAGAGGAGGGTTGATAACATTGTTGGCATTGCGTATGCCATGGACATGCTCGACTATGTGGAGCAGGTGAGACTTGGGCAGGTGGGATCTGGTGGGGATCGCGCATGCCATAGTCATGCTCGACTACGTGGAGCAGGTGGGTGGGGGTCTGTCTGGGGCAGGAAGTATCTGTGTGGGGTAGGTGGGATCTGTGTGGGGCAAGTGGCTAGGGGTCTGGCTGTGTGGTGCAGAAAGGGCGTATTCATGAAGCGCGGGTGGTATCTGGGGGCGGCAGCTCTGTGTGTGTGTTGGTTGCGCTGCCTTGGCTCATCTTTCCACCTGTCTACATATCATCAACCTGCCTCTCTGCCACTACTGTCCACAGCTGAGTCATGCTTTACCCCATCGCCCCCCCTCCACTCCACCCCTCCCATCCTCCCCTCCCCCTCCCTTTCCCTGTCTTCCCCAAACCTGCCCAACCAATCTGACTCCCTCTCACTGCTCTCTCTCACTCCCTCTCACTCCCCACCTCTCACTGCCTCTTCTCACTGCCCCATCTCAACCCCTTCTTCTACCGCTTCCTTCCCAACGCCCCTTTCCCACCCCTCCCTCCCTCTCGCTGTCACGGCCAGCCGGAGCTGCTGCACCGCTTGAGTGTGGGCAGGATTGCACACCGGCCGGCATACTTCGTCCCTGGTGAGAAAGCACACCCCGACTCCGACTTGTCTCTACCACTTCTTTTCTGCCCTGCCCTGCCCTGCACCCTTATCGGCGACTTTTGAGTCGACTCAAAAGTCACCTCGTTCCCATTTCATCACCAATCTTGCTCTGCTCTCCTTGCGCCGCCAGCCGCATCTCCTCGTTCCAGTATGCAGCCTCTGGAGCACGCAGGCAGCCACGCTGTGTGTGATAAGTCGAGTTTTGAGTACTCCAGAGGCTGACTCAAAACTGTGTGTGTACTCAAAACTCGACTTATCGCATGCAGCCTCTGGAGCACGCAGACAGCCACACAAAAAATCCACACCCATGCCTTCCCCCTTCCGCTCCCCCTCCCCCATCCCCCACCCCGACGCTTTCTCTCCCCTCTTTTTTCCTCCTCTTCCCTTACCCCCATTCCCAACCCCGAACCTCTCCCCCCCTGACCCCAATCCATCCCCCACCCCGACCCTTGTCCCATCTCCTTTCCACTACCTGTTTGCACGTTGACATGTGCTGCAGACTCCATGTCGGTGTGGAACCTTCTGAGAGAGTTCCGCATCCGCAAAGTGCACATGGCCATCGTGCTGAACGAATACGGTGGCACCGTGGGGGTGAGTAGCTGTCCTCTATCTTTCACAGCCCGCATTCGCGAAGTGCACATGGCCATTGTTCTCAACGAGTACGGCAGCACCAGGGGCAGCTCTGCCCGTTCTTTTCTCTCCCCCTCTTGCTCACTCCGTCACGCATCTCTCTTTCCCCACTTACTTGTGTGTAGTGCACGTCAACCCCCACATGCACGCTCTTGTGTTTCTGTGATGCTCTAACTGGTACGATTTTTTAGGCGCCTCAAAAACAACCCCCACATGCGCGCTCTTGTGTTTCTGTGGTGCTGTAACTGGTTTCCATGCCCTCTTATGTTGCATGACCCGTCCTTCCTCCCTCCAGCTGGTGACACTGGAGGATGCTGTAGAGGAGATCGTGGGGGAGATATTCGACGAGAATGACTCCAAGGTACCTTTGGGGGGATAGGAGAGTGGGGGTTGTGTGGGAATGAAGGCGACCTGAGGCTGAGATCACCAGACGAAGCGTGTAACTCTAAAGATGCTGTGGGGATGGTGTGGTGAAGAGTTTGGGGTAGTGCCCTCTCTCTTCCCGTGCCTTGTCTGTTGCCGTGCAAGCTCACTGTAACTCCTATTCTGCATCTGCATCTGCCTCTGCCTCTGCCTCTGCCTCTGCCTCTGCCTCTGCGTCTGCGTCTGCGTCTGCGTCTACCTCTACCTCTGCATCTGCATCTGCATCTGCCTCTGCCTCTGCCTCTGCCTCTGCCTCTGCGTCTGCCTCTGCCTCTGCGTCTGCGTCTGCGTCTACCTCTGCATCTGCCTCTGCCTCTGCCTCTGCGTCTGCGTCTGCGTCTGCGTCTGCCTCTGCGTCTGCCTCTGCCTCTGCGTCTGCGTCTGCCTCTGCCTCTGCGTCTGCCTCTGCGTCTGCGTCTGCCTCTGCGTCTGCCTCTGCTTCTGCCTCTGCGCCTGCCTGTGCGTGTGCGTGGGCGTGTGCTGTGCTTGTGCTTGTGCCTTTTTGCTTACCTGCCAACAGGAGGAGATTCGGCGCAAGACGGGATACATCATCCAGAGGGCGGAAGGCGTGTATGATGGGAACCCAGACTCTAGAAACGCACCGTTTGTGTGCCTCTCTCCCTCCCTATGCGTGTGTGCCAACAGGAGGAGATTCGGCGCAAGACGGGATACATCATTCAGAGGGCGGATGGCCTGAATGATGTGGATGCCACCAACCCCTCATGTGTGTGCCCCTGCCTCCGCCTCTGCCTGTGTGTGGATGGGCCTTCTGTGTGCATGTGCGTGTGCGGACAGGAGGAGATTCGGCGCAAGACGGGATACATCATCCAGAGGGCGGAGGGCGTGTACGGTGGGAACCCAGACTCTAGAAACGCACCATTTGTGTGCCTCTCTCCCTCCCTATGCGTGTGTGCCAACAGGAGGAGATTCGGCGCAAGACGGGATACATCATCCAGAGGGCGGAGGGCGTGTATGATGTGAACCCAGACTCTAGAAACGCACCATTTGTGTGCCTCTCTCCCTCCCTATGCGTGTGTGCCAACAGGAGGAGATTCGGCGCAAGACGGGATACATCATTCAGAGGGCGGATGGCCTGAATGATGTGGATGCCACCAACCCCTCATGTGTGTGCCCCTGCCTCCGCCTCTGCCTGTGTGTGGATGGGCCTTCTGTGTGCATGTGCGTGTGCGGACAGGAGGAGATTCGGCGCAAGACGGGATACATCATCCAGAGGGCGGAGGGCGTGTACGGTGGGAACCCAGACTCTAGAAACGCACCATTTGTGTGCCTCTCTCCCTCCCTATGCGTGTGTGCCAACAGGAGGAGATTCGGCGCAAGACGGGATACATCATTCAGAGGGCGGATGGCCTGAATGATGTGGATGCCACCAACCCCTCATGTGTGTGCCCCTGCCTCCGCCTCTGCCTGTGTGTGGATGGGCCTTCTGTGTGCATGTGCGTGTGCGGACAGGAGGAGATTCGACGCAAGACGGGATACATCATCCAGAGGGCGGAGGGCGTGTACGGTGGGAACCCAGACTCTAGAAACGCACCATTTGTGTGCCTCTCTCCCTCCCTATGCGTGTGTGCCAACAGGAGGAGATTCGGCGCAAGACGGGATACATCATCCAGAGGGCGGAGGGCGTGTATGATGTGGATGCCAACACCACCATTGATGACCTTGCTGACATTCTCCAAGTCGTGCTGCCTCCCGTGAGTGCTGCTACCCCCCGTGAGTCGTGCTTGTGCTGTCGCCTGTGAGTCGTGCTGCTGCCTGTGAGTCACTCCGTGAGTCACATTCCCCGCACGTGGTTCAGAAGAGGCCGGAGGGCGGAGGGCGTGTATGATGTGGATGCCAACACCACCGTCGATGACCTGGCTGACATTCTCCAAGTCGTGCTGCCCCCTGTGAGTGCTGCTTGTGTTGCCTGCCAGTGAGTCACTCTTGTGCTGCAGCCCCTCTTCCCGTGCTTATGTGTGTCCTTCCGTGCGCCTGGGCGTGTATGATGTGGATGCCAACACCACCGTGGATGACCTTGCTGACATCCTGCAAGTCGTGCTGCCGCCCGTGAGTCATACCTGTTCTGCTCGCCAGTGAGTCGTGCTGCTGCCAACCGTGAGTCACTCTTGTGCCTGTGAGTCGTTCTTGTGGTGAGTCACTCTTGTGGTGTTCCTTCTACGAGACGGTGTTGGGGTTTGTGTGCGGGGCGTTTGGGTAGATACCCGCACGGGAGACACAGACAGATGTGTGTCTCCTCCTTATGTCCACTCTCCCCACGCCCACAACCTCCTCTGTTTCTCTCTCCCCATCAGAGAGCCTCCTTCTACGAGACGGGTGACACCAAGATCATCAGGCTGCATTTTTCCTGCTTTCTCGGCACATGTATTTTTTGCAGAGAGCTTCCTTTTACGAGACGGTGTCTGGTTTCGTGTGCGAGGCGTTTGGATACATTCCCCGCACGGGGGACACCAAGATGATCAGGCTGCAGCGGAAGGAGAGCGAGGAGGAGGAGGAGGGCGACGGGGCGGAGGAGGGGGGAGCGGGCGGGAAGGGAGGGAAGGGGCGGGAGAGGGACGGTGGGGATAAGGGGACGCGTAAGCAGCTGCTGCGATTCCAGCTCGAGGTAACCGGGGTGATGTGGCAGGCATGGGCTTGGGTGGCGCAGTGGGGTGGCGCAGTGGGGTGGCGCAGTGGGGTGGTGCAGTGGGGTGGCGCATATTTGTGGTGAACTAGCCGCCTTTTGTTGACAAATTCTTGATTGAGCCCCTCTTTCCACGTTTACTTGTTGTGAGTTACCTTATAAGTTACCCTTTTCCACCTGCTTACATTGATATCTAGCTCAAAATATACCTTTGTCCTTTTCCTCTGCCTCTCGCCTGGGTGACAGATTTTGTCCGGTAATGCAAGGAAGGTGGTGGCAGTGCGATTCGAAGAGCTGAAAGAGACGGAAGGGGCCAGTGGGGGCGGTGTAAAGGGAAAGCTTGGTGCAGGGAAGGAAGAGGAGGATATAGAGAAGGAGACAGAGAGGAAGAGAGAGAAGGATAGGGAGCGAGCATTGGTGGAGGAGTGGGAGAGTGAGAAGAGGAGGGAGGGGAGGAGGAAGGAGAGGATCAGCCAGGAAGTGAGGTCGAGGGGGTTGGGGGAAGTGGGGAGAGGGGAGGGGGAAGGGACGGGCGAGGGGGAGAGTAAGTGCGAGACGTGTGAGCAGATGAAGCTGGGGAGGGGGAAAGCGGGGGGGAGGGGGGTGTTACTGGATAGTGAGAGTGAGGGGGAGGAGGGGGAGGTGCTGATGGGTGGAGGGTGGTTGACAGGTGGAGACGGGGAGGAGGGGGGGTATTCTGAGGGTGTGTTGTATACAGACTCTGATATGGGGGAGAGGGACGGTGAGAGGGACGGTGTGGGGGAAAGTGGGAGTGAGAGGGGGAGTGGGAAGGAGACTGAGGGTGGGCTCGTGAGAAGAGGAGAGGGAGGTACTTTTGATGGTGTGAGGAATGACGGGGTTGGAGGAGAGGAGGAGGAGGATGAGGAGGGTTCGGATGGAGAGGAGTCAGACGGGGACGGAGAGGGGAGGAGGAGGGGGCAGTCCAGGGGCGGGCTTTACCAGGAGCAGGAAGAGCAGCAGCAGCAGCAGCAGCTGCAGTTGCAGCAGCAACACTCGCAGCAGCAGCAGCAGTTGCAGCCGGCACAGCAGCAGGCAGCAGCAACAGGGAATGAGGGCTCAGGGTTGGAGCATGGGCCGGCAGGTGCTGGTATGACTACCAGCTACAGCACGAGCAGCTGCAGCAGCGTCATGGTCAGCAGCAGCAGCAGCAGCAGCAGCAGCATGATCACAACTGGAGGCATGGTAGGAGGGAGTGATTCGCCAGGCAGCAGCAACGGCAGCAGCTTGGTGCGAGGGGTGGCGTGGCGGGAGGAGGCGGTGACGTGGCGAACTGAGGAGGAGGAGGAAGAATCAGATTACAGCTCAGGGTCTGATGGTCATGTGGGGCTGGAGGGGGGCACGGGAGGAGGAGGCGGGGGAGTGAGGGAGTTTGAGGGTGTGGCGATGGCTCAGGAGCAGTACGACCGGTGGGAGGAGAAGGAGAAGCAGGTGAGGGTTGGCGGCTGCTTGCAGAGGGGCTGGGAGGTAGCACAGGCTAGTTGATATGGGCGAGCTGATATGGGCGAGTTGATATGGGCGAGTTGATATGGGCGAGTTGATATGGGCGAGTTGATATGGGCGAGTTGATATGGGCGAGTTGATATGGGCGAGTTGATATGGGCGAGTTGATATGGGCGAGTTGATATGGGCGAGTTGATATGGGCGAGTTGATATGGGCGAGTTGATATGGGCGAGTTGATATGGGCGAGTTGATATGGGCGAGTTGATATGGGCGAGTTGATATGGGCGAGTTGATATGGGCGAGTTGATATGGGCGAGTTGATATGGGCGAGTTGATATGGGCGAGTTGATATGGGCGAGTTGATATGGGCGAGTTGATATGGGCGAGTTGATATGGGCGAGTTGATATGGGCGAGTTGATATGGGCGAGTTGATATGGGCGAGTTGATATGGGCGAGTTGATATGGGCGAGTTGATATGGGCGAGTTGATATGGGCGAGTTGATATGGGCGAGCTGATATGGGCGAGCTGATATGGGCGAGCTGATATGGGCAAGCTGATATGGGCGAGCTGATATGGGCGAGCTGATATGGGCGAGTTGATATGGGCGAGTTGATATGGGCGAGTTGATATGGGCGAGTTGATATGGGCGAGTTGATATGGGCGAGCTGATTTGGGCGAGCTGATTTGTGCGAGTTGATATGGGCGAGTTGATATGGGCGAGCTGATATGGGCGAGCTGATATGGGCGAGTTGATATGGGCGAGTTGATATGGGCGAGTTGATATGGGCGAGTTGATATGGGCGAGTTGATATGGGCGAGTTGATATGGGCGAGCTGATATGGGCGAGCTGATATGGGCGAGTTGATATGGGCGAGTTGATTTGTGTGAGGTGATATGAGCGAGGTGATATGGGCGAGTTGATATGGGCGAGCTGATATGGGCGAGTTGATATGGGCGAGCTGATATGGGCGAGTTGATATGGGCGAGTTGATATGGGCGAGGTGACACGGGCGAGTTTTCACATTGCCCACTCCCTCTGCTCCCTCCGCTCTCTCTGCTCTCTCCTCTAACTATGGTTTCTCTTCATTGTGTTTTCTCCGTTGCCGCCATATTCCATTCTCACCAGTGTAATGTGCCATGTCCCATGTGTTTGTCGGGCAGGTGGAGAGGAGGAGGCAGAGGAGGAAGAGGGAGAGAAGTGAGGCGCAGGCAGAGTTGAGGAGGCAGGCGCTGGGCATAAGTGGGGGAGCGGACGCTGCCACACAGCTGTCTCTGCACACTGAACCGCTCAGGCTGAGACTCAGCCGCCCAGATGCGATGTCAGAGAGCGAGAGGGAGTGAGGGAGGGTGAGGGGGGAGGAAGGAGTGAGCCAGAGCTGAGGAGGCAGAGCTGAGGAGGCAGGCACTGGGCACAGGGAGAGGAGGGGTCGCTGCCACACAGCTTTCTCTGCATTTTGAAACGCTCAGGCTGAGACTCAGCCGCCCAGATGCACTGTCAGGGAGCGAGAGGGAGTGAGGGAGGGAGCAAGCGGAAAGGAGAAGTTTGGGAAAGATGGGATGGATGGCAAGCTCTGGTTTCTGAGAATTCTCAAGAACCAACTTAGCTTGGGCATAAGCAGCAGCAAAAACAGCAGTAGCATAACCAGAACTCTTTTCGGACACAGAAATGCTACTTACCAAGATATTTCTGTTCCCCCCTGTGACGAAATTAGCCAGGCTGATATTGGAGCACATTTTTACAGAGTATTGTATGGCCGGTTCAGTCTGATTTGCACAGAGGGCTAGAAATGGCGGTGCTGTGGTGATACGTTCCAATCCTGTTGAATGGCAGAAAGGCATTGAAGTTGTCGTCCTTGTCATTTGTTTAGTTCCTAGACAATGACCAAGTTCTGACACTGAGAAAGCTGGTTACTGAAAATTTGTTGACATTATTCGGTGTATCGTTCCAAGATTCAGTTGCTACATGTGCTGATTCCACAAGCTCGAGAAACATTAGCGCGTATGGGCCCAACCCTCAATGTGTTGGTATTTCGCGCCATTCGTATTTCGCGCCCTTTTCATGATCGCCCACAGGAAGTATCGTGTCCACCACGCCTCTACTTTAGCCAGCTAATCTCCTTTCCTCCGCGCCGCGTCTCTCCCCATGCGCCCGCACCGCCCGCTCGCTTCCCTTCTACGCGTCTTCGGATCGCCCGCAAGTGCCGCGCTCCCATCCACACTCGAGGCGCCACACCGATTGGTCAGTGCACTCAGAGCAGATTTCAGGACACGTGGCGCTTCTACAGCATGCCAGGTGGCTTTCGAAGCCACTCGCGTATGCGAGCGATCGAGCGCCAGCACAATTGCCTCTGAATGCGATACATATGGCGCTGCCGTGGCGAGCGCGGCTGCGCGCGGGGCGTCTTATAGCGAACAGTCTTGTAGCGAGGCGTCTAGAGAGCCCGCGTCTCAATGTCGGCGCGGGGCGGCGGAGAGTGCAGAATCGGCGGAGAAGACGCGCGGATGGACGGTGGCTGTGGAGGGAAACATCGGCGTGGGGAAATCAACGGTTCTGAGTGCTCTGGGCGCACGATTAAACAGGTGGGTAAGGTCGCCCTCACCCTCTTATTTCTCTGTGCTTTGGGCTTATTGCCCTCTTATTGCTTACCCACACCCTCTCTCCCTCACTCTCCTCCCCTCTCACAAATCAGGATCCCAACTCCTTTTCCCAGGTCTCTCCCGTTTTGCTCCCCTTTCAACCCCAACCCCCTACCGCACCCCACTTTCTCCCCTCCCAACTCTCCCCCGCCTCCCTCTCCCTCCCCCCTTCTCCCCCGTCTCCTCCCCTCCGCTTCCTCCTCCTCCCCCCCCCCCCTCTCTCTCCCTGCAGTGACGTGGCATTGCGGAGAGCTGTCACTGGCGGTGCTGACGTGGCGCTTCAGCCCGAGCCGCTGCGGGAGTGGCGCAACGTGCGGGGCAGCGGGGAAAATGCACTGGACGCGTTTTATAAAGACCCCAAGAGGTGGGGGAAGGGGGGGGACTGGGGGAGAGCCACAAGAGGTGGGGGAAGAAAGGGGGGATGGGGATAAAAAGGAGGCTGTGAGTGGGGCAACGTGCGGGTGAGTGGCGCAACGTGCGGGTGAGTGGCGCAACGTGCGGGGCAAACGCGCTGGGGGCGTTCTACAAAGACCCCAAGAGGTGGGGGCGGGGAGAAAGGGAGGAGGGGAAGAGTACTGCATGTTTCAGGGTTGCTTAGAGCTTTCAGAGGCTTTTCTTCACGTCCTGCATCTCCCAGTACCGTCCCATACCACCATCACCTCACCACCCCCCGGCCTTCTCCCTCCCCTTCCTCTGGCCTTTCCCCCCTCCTCCCCTTCCCTCCCCAGGTTAGCCTACACCTTTCAGAACCTGGTGTTTATCTCCCGTGCGACACAATACCTCCAATCCCACCGCCACCGCCACCGCCACCACCCTTTCCGATTCTCTCCCTTCTTTCTGACCCCCTTCCCACTCCCTCTCTCCCTTTCCCTTCCCTTCCCCCCCCCTATCAAACCTTTCGTTAGGTTCGCCTACATCTTCCAAAGCCTGGTGTTCGTCTCCCGGGCCTCTCAATACCACCAAGCACACCGCCACCACCCCTCTGCTCTCTCTCCCACTCTCTTGTCCTCTGTCCCGCTCTTCCCCTCTCAGGTTCGCCTACACCTTCCATCAAGAGCCTGGTGTTCGTCTCCCGGGCCTCTCAAAACCGCCAGGCCAAGCCAAGCCCACCGTCACCACCCATCTGCCCTCCGCCTCTGCGAGCAATCCCTTTTCTTACTCCCTCCCACCCTTTCGTTTCCCCCTCCTCTCAGATTCGCCTACACCTTTCAGAGTCTGGTCTTTATCTCCCGGGCCTCTCAGTACCGCCACGGCTTGCAGCAAAACCCCTCTGCTCTGCGCCTCTGCGAGCGCCCTCTTTATCTCCCTCTTCTGTGACCGCCTCGTGTCTCCCCCTCTCTCTCCACCCCGCCTCTTCCCTTGCCACCCAAAATCCTATCTCTCCCCTTCTCTTTTCCCACTCTTTTTGCCTCCCAAATCCCTTTCTCCACCCAGGTTTGCCTACACCTTTCAGAGCCTGGTCTTTATCTCCCGGGCCTCCCAGTACCGCCACGGCTTGCAACAACACCCCTCTGCTCTGCGCCTCTGCGAGCGCTCCCTCTTCTGTGATCGCCTCGTGTTTGCACCAGCAGCAGTGGCGGGGGGGCTGTTTACACCGCTTGAGGAGGCGCTCTACGATTCCTGGGTCGATGCCGTGCTGCCCATGCTCCCAGGCGTGGTGAGTTACCATTACTAGTACCATTATCATGACCACTACCACTACCATTACCATTACGATTACCGTTATCATTACGATTACCATTACCATTCCAATTACCGATACCATTACCACTACCATTACCATTACCATTGCCACTACCGCTACCGCTACCATTACCGTTACCATTACCACTACCAGTACCATTATCATTATCAATACCATTACCATTACCATTACCATTATCATTATCATCACAACTACCACTACCACTACCACTACCATTACCATTACCGTTATTACACATTACCATTACTACTACCACTACCACTATCATTACTATTATCATTACTATAACTATTACCATTACTAGTACCATTACTAACACCATTACCACTATCATTACTATTACCACTACCATTACCACTACCACTACTATTACCATTACCATTACTACCACCATTACCATTACCACTACCACTACCATTACCACTACCACTATTATTACTATTACTACTACCACTACCATTACCATTACCATTACCACTCCACTGTTCCTGGGTCGATGCCGTGCTGCCCATGCTGCCTAGGGTGGTAATAACCTGGCGTGAGTAGCTTGAATTGCGTGAGTCCCACCGCAGTCCCTCCCCTCACTAGAAGATGCTCTTTATGACTGGCTCGTGTGGGTCGATTCTATGCTGCCCATGCTTCCTGGGGTGGTGAGTACCTGGCTCGTGGATACCTGTCCTGAGTAAGTTATATATTCTTCTGTGACTGCCTATTTGCACCGGCAGCAGTGGTGGAAAGGCTGTTCGTGCCACTAGATCAAGCACTATATGACTTGTGGGTCGATCCGTGCTGTCCATGCTCCCTGCTGTGGTAGTACCCCTCACAATTTCCCTCCTACCACCCCTCTCCCAACAGGTACCCAGTACACTCATCTACCTCCGAGCACACCCCTCTGTGTGTCTGCAGCATCTAAAGCAACGGTGTGATCTTCCCTATGCTCCCACCGTACACCACTCTCCCCTCCCATCAGATGCCCGATGCGTTCATCTACCTCAGAGCTGACCCCTCTGTGTGCCTGCAGCACCTAAAGCAACGGTGTGCTCTGCCACTATTTGTGTTGCCGTCTCCCCCCCATCAGGTACCCGATGCCTTCATCTACCAGAGAGCGGACCCCCCTGTGTGTCTGCAGCGCCTGAAGCAACGGTGTGTGCTCCCCACTCCCCACTCCCCACTCCCCACTCCCCACTGCTCTCTCATCCCATCAGGTACCCGATGCCTTCATCTACCAGAGAGCGGACCCCCCTGTGTGTCTGCAGCGCCTGAAGCAACGGTGTGTGCTCCCCACTCCCCACTCCCCACTCCCCACTCCCCACTCCCCACTGCTCTCTCATCCCATCAGGTACCCGATGCCTTCATCTACCTGAGAGCCGACCCCTCTGTCTGCCTGCAGCGCCTGAAGCAACGGTGTGCTCTCTACCCCCTCACCTCTCTACCCCCCACCTCTCTACCCCCTCACCTCTCTACCCCCACCTCTGCAATTCCTCCCTACTAAGTCTCTCCCTCCCTCCTTCCCTCACAGTCTTTGTGCCTGTCTGTCTGCCTTTGTCTCTGTCTCAGTCTCGGTAGACTCCTTTTCTTGACAGTGACTGCCTCACAGTCACTATGTTGCTCAAAGTCTGCTTTTGATTTGACTCAAAAGCAGACTCCTTTACTCGCAGTCTCTGTTCCTGTCTGTCTGTCTCTGCCTCTGTCACTCTGTTGCTCAAACTTTCCCTCTCCATGACCATCCACCCACTCACCCACACGCATCTCCCATTCGTGTATCACACTTTCCTCCTTTCAACCGTTCTCATCCCTCTGACCGCCCACATCACTTCTCGCCCCCACAGCTCTCGCTCCGAAGAGACCTCCGTTGACTTGCCACACCTTCAACGCCTGGACGACTTGTATTGCTTCTAAGGCGCTGCGAATATCTTTCCATCCTAATCCCACATCACCCCGCCCCCACAACTCTCGCTCCGAAAAGACCTCCGTTGGCTTGCCGTACCTGCAGCGTTTGCACGAGCAGTGTCTTGAGTCGACTCAAAAGACACCGTTCTCATCCCTCTCCCCGCCCACATCACCTCTTCCCCCACAGGCACCAAAGAGACCGGTGTTGACTTGCCACACCTTCAGCGCCTCTAGAAGCTGTACTGCTTTTGAGGTGCTTCCAAAGTCCTTCTTTTTCCCTCTAACCCCACGCCTCTTCCCATGCAGCTCTCGCTCAGAAGAGACCTCCGTTGACTTGCCGTACCTGCAGCGCCTGCACGAGTTGTACGACCGCTGGTTCCTGGAAGGTTCTCACCGGACAGATCCGGAACATGCGGCAGGTGGGGGGGGCTGGCATGCTGCTGTCGGTAGCTTTTCCAAACGCACTCCATATTCATTCCTGGGGTCTCCTCAGAATCTTCCGTGTAATTCTCTCCATTGTCTCCCTAGATTTCAAATCTCCCTGGCATTGTCTTTCCGTGTGATTCTCTCCACATGTTCTGCTGCATTATCCCCATAAATGCTTCACGTGTTGTCTCTGTGTGTGCACTCACTCTCTTCCAGCAGCCCCTTCCTTCCGTGCCACTTTGGACGGAGCCTTGACACACAGTGCACTTGATGGTGTGCCGGGGCTGGTGGTGGATTGTAACCAACACATTCAGCAGTGCGATGGTGATATTGTGGAGCCCCGTGGAGACATGGGTGAAGGAGGGGAAAGGTTGGGGAAAGGGGCAATCATGGGTTCGGGTTCGGGGGTAGCAGAGGCGTTGCCAGGAGCGAAGGTTGGGATTGGAGGGAGTGATTTGAAGACATTGCTGGTTGAGATTTTGCCGTTTTTGCAGCGACTGTGTGCACGAACGTGTGTTGAAGACTTTTGATGATTGTACATTTTGTGATGGTGCCATTGAGGGTTTTTTCCACCACACCTGTTCAAAAGAAATACAGTCAGAGAAAATATTCAGCATATAATCCTGGTGTGTTGGGTGAAGAAGGGAGCCACAACCACAAGACCCACAATTGTTCCTAGATTTACCCTGAAATAATTCTTGATGCTTATAGGTACAAAAAAGTTACATCCATGTCTTCGCGAAGTGCTGCTATCGCGAAAGGCCGCGTCCGCCTGTTGGCAATCCCCGTACCCGACAGGCACCACCCCTCTGGCGACAAGTGGTCTGCTGGTGCTGCGTGCTGACTGGCCGGTTCGCCTGTTGTATTCTCGAGGCATCCCTCCCTCGCTTCCTCGTTTTCCCCTTCTTCCCCCCTCCCAACCCAAGTCCCGCGCTCCCTTTCTCTCACCTCCTCCCTTCCCCTCGTCGCCACATCCACGTTCCTCGACTCTCGAGACTGCCGTTACTTCTCACCAAAAAACCAACTTCCTCCATTGCTGTCCTTTTCTTTCTCTCCTCTCTTCCCTGTCTCTTCTCTTTTCCCACTGCTCCTTTCTCGTCTTAAATTTATTCAGCAGCTACGCATCGCCAAGATTCTTTCTGGTTTTCTTTTCTCTCGCACTGCACTAAATGTGCTAGGTTTACCCTTTCTAGGGTAGGCCTTCCTGGAAGCTTCTCTGTCGACGTCTCCCCCCATTGAGGGTCCGAATGCGATAAGAGCCTCCCTCAAGAGCTCGTAATAAGTCTCTCATGTGCAAGCACCCACTTGCGCCGTTCCCCATAGTTTATGGTCTTTCGGCCGGCTACTTTCAGCCGGCTGCTTCGACTGGTTACTTTTAGCCTGCTAAATCGACCGGTTATTCCAGCTGGTTAGTTCCCAATGGCGTTCCGGCAAGGCGGCGCCGGCGAGTCACGGGGGGGTCCGGGTCGGCCGGACGGCCCGCCGCGAATAAAGGACGGCAGCTGGATATCTGCCGACGCTCGGAATCGGCCGACTGGCTGGGCATCGCAGGTCCGTCAGTCCTAGCCCTGACGAAGCGTCCATAAGCGCAGGTCCGTCAGTCCTAGCCCTGACGAAGCGTCCATGAGCTTTACGTAATAGGAACCTGCCTCGACCGCTTTCTTCATTGAGGCGTTTAAACATCCGCCATATCAATATACAGATTTTCTCTTTCGACACGAGTCAACGTGAGACCGCGAGGCTTTTTTTTTTTTTTTTTTTTTTTTTTGGGTCTCATGGCCGCGCATGTTCCGCCTTCGAGCCGTTCCTTGTCGTGCTTCACGGCCTCGCACATACCGTCTTTTCAACCGTCCCGCTGTGAACTCAATGCGGTTAAGCTGCGGACATTGATGCGGTTAAGCTGCGGACATTGATGCGGTTAAGCTGCGGACATTGATGCGGTTAAGCTGCGGACATTGAATGCGGTTAAGCTACGGACATTCCGTCTACGTCCAATGTCGAAACCTATGCGGCTAAGGATGTGTAGCATGAGGATCTTTGCGAAAGGAAAGTCGATCCAAGAGACAGCAAAGGCGATATTTGTTTTGTCAACGTCGTCGTCCTACCATTTTCTGGCGAGCTCATTTCGTCGCACCAACTCGAGGTGACTTTTGAGTCGACTCTAAAACATTTTCTTCCATCTACTGGCGTTTTCCTCCCCTCCTCCCAAACACTACTTGAGCGTCAGAATCGGCGAGCGAAGCGCATGAAGCTACACATTTGGAAGAACACGCCTCCATTCAATTTGCCCTCGCGTTTCCTCCCCCTCCGCCTGCCCTTTCCCCCGACCTCCGCTTCCCTCATGCCTCCCGCCTCCCCCCTGCGTCAGACTTGGCGCGCGAAGCGCTTGAACCGCATGTGGGAAAGCCGGGCATACTGTGCTCACGATTTAGGATTCTCAAAACTCCCCTTACATTCCGTTCCGCCTTTCCCCCTTTCCATTCCAACTTCCTACAACCCCCGCCTCGTCCCCATCCCCCCCCCTCCCCTCTCTCCGCCTCCCCCTTGCGCCAGATGGGAAGCGCGAAGCGCTTGAAGCCGCGCATGTGGAAGAGCGCGCCTCTTTCTCAAGTGCAGCAAATTCCCACCCCGTCCTCCCTTTCCCCTATGCCAGATGGGGCGCGCGAAGCGGCTGAAGCCGCGCATGTGGAAGAGCGCGTTCGACGCGGAGGGGCGTCTGGTGCGCATGCCTCAAGTGCTGAAGGCGATCCTCGAAGGGGTAAGTTTGGGGTCGACTCAAGCGTCTTTCGCTGTGGATTAAGTACCATTCGACTTACCAGAGGCGTCTCGTGCGCATGCTGCTCAGAACAAGGTCTTATCAGCGTCTACTCAAGCATTTTTTTATTTGATGCTCTTCGAATCACCAGCCGAGGCGATTGTTAAGGGGTGAAACTTCCACCAGCCTTGTAACGCGGATGCACTGCCCATTGACAATATCCTTCTTTCCCGCGCGCTCCTGACGCCCCACACTTTGCTTATGCTGTTCCTTAGGCCCCCCACCTACTGCAAGTCTTCATTCATGTGTCCCAAACCTCCTCTATCCTGTCATCTCCTCTCCTCTCCCCTCATTTCCTCTCCTCCGCTTCTTGTCCCCTTCGCGTTCTCCTCTCCTTCGCTCCCCTCTGTGCGTGCAGAGGGAAGTTCCTGCCCGGCAGCTTAATTCAAAGCACCTTCAATCCTGTCTCTTATGTGTACCTCCTCCCTCCTCCTCGTCCCCCTTCCTCCCCGGCCCCCCTCTCCCCCTCCTCTCTGCACGTGCAGGGAGTGGACAAGTCGATACGGGGCGAGGTGTGGGAGTTCTTGCTCGGCTGCTTCTCCCTCGAGTCCACCGCGGAGGAGCGGAACTACGTGCGCGAGGCCAGGAGGTACGTTCTGCCTGACTTAATTTTAGTGGGAAAATTGCTGGGAAGGTCTGGAGGGAGGGGGAAGGTTATGGTGAAGCTGAAGGGTTTGATGGGGAAAGGTCGGTGTCATCAACCTAGTTCTTGGTTCTCCCTCGAGTCCACTGCGGAGGAGAGGAACTACGTGCGTTAGGCCGGGAGGTTAGTGGTACTACACAAGTGCTTTACTTGAGCGTCTGGGAGGGAAGGGTAGGGGGAGGTCGGTGGCACCAGGGAGGAGAAGTGCTTCTCCCTCGAGTCCACTGCGGCGGAGAGGAACTGCGTGCGCGAAGCCATGAGGTTCGTTCCGTAGACCCTAGGAGGAGGGCCTGGGAAAGGTCTCGAGGGCATGGGAAGGGTAGGGGAAAGGTCGGTGGCATCACACAAGTGCTTCTCCCTCGAGTCCACCGCGGAGAAGCGGAACTACGTGCGCGAAGCTAGAAGGTTCGTTGCTGCTTGGTGCACTCTAGAGGGAGATCTGGGGAAGGGTCGTTTCCCTCTCCCCGTCACCACCTCTCCCTCGCTCTCTCCCCTTCACACCCCACGGCTGATGCCCGACGCCTCCCACCCTCTTCCCCTCCCACCCCTCCCTTCTTACAGGGAGCGTTACCAGCAGCTGCTGCTGCAGTGCCAGCAGATGCACATCAATGTGGGGTCAGGTCAGTGGACACTTCCTGTCTTCCCTTTCTACCCTCACATCTTCCTCTCTCCCTTGCACCCAACTCCCCCTCCCTGCAGGGAGCGTTACCAGCAGCTGCTGCTGCAGTGCCAGCAGATGCACAGCAACGTGGGGTCGGGTCACCTGGCCTTTGCTGTGGGAACGCGCATCATGGACGTGCGCATCATCCACCCCGGAAACACCCCGGGTAACTCGGGAACTACCCCCGGAAGCAGCACCGCCAACGTCCCATCCCCAGCTACCACATCCCCTAGCGGGGAAGCAGGGGGGGGCGGAGGGGGAGGAAGAGCGGGGGGCGGGAGCAGCAGCAGGAGCAACACTCCCCCCGATCGAAGCGTGCTAGGGGGGGCAGGGGCTAGAAGCTCAGCCAGTGGGGGAAGCAGCGACCTGCGATATCCCCCTTCTAGACAGTACTCTGAGAGGGGATCTGCTGGGAGTTCCACTCAGCTTAGACTGGATCAGCTTATAGAGGAGGGTGGGCCTCGACTGAGTTCTTTCTCGTCGTTCTCGTTCAGTTGCGATGTGGATATTTTTGACTTAGATGACCCGAGGGGGTTGTTTGTTCGGCCAGGAGGAGAGGAGGAGGACGAGGAGGATTTGGAGGAGGAGTGGGAGGGTGAGGGGCAGGAGGGGATGAGGGATACGGACGAGGAGGAAGAGGAGGAGGAGGGTGGGGAAGGGGGAGGGGAAGGGGGGAGAGAGGGGGAGAAAGGGAGGCAGGGCGGCGGAGGAGGGGCTGGGGGAGGGAAGGGGGAGAGAGGGGGGAAAGGGGAGGGTGCGGAGGGGGACAAAGGGGGCGGTGGTGGCGCAAAGGATAGTCCTAGGGAAAAGAGGGCGAGGAAAGAGGAGGTGGGGGTGGGAAAAGGGGAAGCGGCGGGCGGAAGGGAGGCAAGAGAGAGGAAGAAGGGGGAGATGCGGCGGAGGAGTGAGGACGGGGATAGGAAGCCTGGGGGGAGTGCTGCTGAGTCGAGTAGAGGGGGGAAAGGCGGAGGGGGAGGGGGACAGGGGGGGGCGCAGGGGGGCGGGCAAGCGGGACCAGGGGAGGGGATGGAGGAGATGAGGGCAAAGTGGGCACGGGAGAGGCAGCGGCGGGTGGATAATCTGGATAAGCTCCGCGCTCAGGACGCCTTGCCAGGGGGAGGGGCCGCAGGGGGAGGCGCAGGAGGGGGGGGCGCAGGAGGCGCAGGGGTAGGGGGGGCAGGCGGAGCGAGCAGTGGGGTTGCTGGTGTGGGGGCTGGGACGCGCGCAATGGGGAAAGCTGAGGCTGGCGCGCCAGGTATTGCTGCTAGCGCGGGAGAAGGGCCTGGGGGAGAGGATGCGGATGGGGCAGCAGCAGGGGGACTAGCAGCAGCGGCTGTAGCAGCCGCAGCAGCAGCAGCAGGGGGTGGGGGAGGAGCAGGGGCAGGGGGGGGGGCAAGGGCAGGGGCGCATGGGGAAGAGGATGCGCCTACAGGGGCACAAGGCGCGCGTTCAGGGGCAGGGGGGCAGGAAACGGGGAGGAGGCCGGGGGAAGGGGGGGAGAGGGGGGAGGATCAGAGTGGAGAGGGCGTGCGGAACAGGAGGAGGGCGGAGAACCGGAGCTTCTCTCGATCTATGAGCGCCCAGCCTGAGAGGATAGGGCGGAGGGAGAGACGGGAGGCGGAGGGAGAGGAGAGCGGTCAGTCAGGCAGGGGCTGGTTCGGGGATGGGATGATGGAGGGGAGTAGAGAGAGTGAGGGTGGGGAAGAAGGGGGGGAGGGCAGTGGGATGGAGGAAGGGGGGGAGCACGAGGGGGGGGAGAAGCGCAAGCAGCAGAAAGTGCGGTGGACTAGGCTGCTGCAGGGAGTGGTGAAGGATATAAAGAAGAAGGAAAGCAAACTGCCCACCTCGAGTTCAATTCTGGACAGTCCCTCCGGGCCTTCTGCTTCCTCAGGCTCATCCGGTGGTGCTTTCAGTGCTTCTGGGTTTTCCACCTCGTCCTCCCACCCGTCTGCAGGTACCGCTCTGCACCACAGGGCACCGGTTCAGGACCACTACAGGTCGTCTGAATCCCAGAAGCAACAGTATTCAGATGTGCCTCTAGCAAAGAGTTTTAGTAGTAGCCTGCCGGCTGTGGGTGGGGAGGGGGATGTGGGTTCGCCTATGCATGCCGTATCTGGTGCTGACAGGTGGCACGCTGTGAGTGGCGGAGTGGGTGGTGGAGGCGGGGGGATGGGGCAGGGAGGGGAAGGGGGAGAGGATGAGGGGTTGGAGGAGGGGGCAGGGGAGGGCGGGTGGGAGGGCAGGGAGGGTGGGGCGGGAGGGGCGACGGATGGGGGAGCGGGGGGGAGGAGGCTGGGGAAGGAGGGGCGGCCGCCAGCGGGGGAGTTGGGGGGAGTGGGGGCGGCGCAGGGGGCGCACAAAGGAGGGGGAGAAGGGGGAGCGGGCGCAGCGTGGGTGAGGGGGATGAAGAAGGCGCATAAGAAGCTGATAGGATACCTTGGCGCATCAGACAGCTTCGGGGGGAGGGAAGGGGTTGGGGCGGGGGGAGGAGTGGGCGTGGGGACAGGAGGAGGGGGACAGGGAGACGGAGGAGGAGGGGGAGTGCTGGGCGGGGGAAAGGTTGTGGGGAAGCTAGGGGGAGAGGGGCATGAAGGGGGAGTGCTGGGCGGCGGAGGGGGAGGAGCAGGGGGAGGGAGGGCGGGCGCAAGGAGACGGCTCCGGAAGGTGCTGAGTGCGGATTGGGGGAGCACGTCATTGGACGAGCTGCTGGGCGGCAAGGGCTTGGCTGCTAGCGCGAGCACCAACCTTTCGTCATCGTCTAGCCAACCAACCCGTCCGTCCACTGCTGCTGGCAGCACTGCTGGCAACGCTGGTGGCAATGCTGCTGGCAACGCTGCTGGTCTAGCTAGCTCTGGTACTCCTATCCCTGGCCACCTTTCCACTCACTCTCACTCCTCCACCCCTCCCCGGTCCACTTCCTCTGCTGCAGCCTCCCCGTCCCCCTCCTCCGCGCTCCTCCCGCCCTCCTCCTCCTCCATCCTCTCCCACCGCCCTGACAGTGCCGGCTCCTCCTCCTCCTCGCGCCGCTCCCGCAGTGCTGGCATGACCCTGGTTGACTTTGCAGGAATCACTGCGCCTTCGCCTGAGCCTGTAGCGGGGGCTGTAGCGGGGCCGGTGGCAGGGGCTTTAGCGGGGCCTGTAGCGGGGTCTATGGAGGGGGGAGAGGTGTGGGGGATGGTGCGGAGTGGTAGCCAGGGGTTGGGGCAGCATGGGCGGGAGAGTGCGCTGGGGAGCAGGGAGCGGATGAGCTTTGGGGGAGGTGGGGATATTGTGGATGGGCGGGAGAGAGACAAGGGGAGGGAGGGAGAGGGGGAGCGGGAGGGGGAGAGGGAAGGAAAGGATGAGCGTGATGTGTGGGAAGCGCTGCAGGCACGCAGTTCATTGAGTGGTGGTACTGCTGCCAGTGGTGCTGCTGGTGGTGATGGCCCTGCTGCTGCTGGTGCTGTTAGTGTTGGTGTTAGTGGTGTTGACGATTTTACTGCTGGTGCTGCTGGTGGTGAGCGTGAGAGCGCGGAAGATGCTGATCCTGCTCCTATAGCTGCAGGGTGCGCCATTGGCCGCAGTGTGGGGGGAAGGGGGGCACCAGGGGAGGCGTCACTGCGTGTGTGGTACAGTGGGGGGGAGGGGAGGGCGGAGGGTAGGGGAGCGGAACGGGCACCTGATGGGGCAGGTAGGCTGGAAGGGGTTCGAGAAGGGAGGGTGGGGGAGGATAGAGGAGCAGGGGCAGTAGTGGGGCCGTCACCGCTACCAGCAACCGCTGCTGTTGCTGATGCTGCTGCTGGCGCAGGTGTTTTAGGAGGGGTAGGAGCAGCAGGAACAGCAGAGCGAGTGGGGACAGATGCTAGAGGCGCAGTGGGGGGAACAGAGCAGGAGCAATCACGAGAAGAGGTTGAGGGACCGAGCACACCCAAAGGAATGGGGGAGGGCAGGGCAACAGCGCGAGCAGGGAAGAGCAGAGTAACTGCGCAAAGAGGGGCGAGCAGAGGGGAAGAATCGGGAGGGGTGAGTGGTGAGAAGGGCGATGGGGAGGGACAGGGCAGCATAGAGCAAGGAGCAGGAGCAGCAGGAGCAGGAGGAGCAGGAGGAGCAGGAGGGGGAGGAGGAGAAGGAGGGGCAGGTATAGGCGTGGAGGAGAGTGTTCTAGAGGGCATTCACACGAGTGCAAGCACAGGAGGGGGCAGCCAAGCAGCAGAGCAGAGGCAGAGCATTCTGCAGGCTTACATGCAGAGGAAAAGCTTCAATGGAAAGAATCCTACAGCTGAGCAGGTGTGGGCTTGGATTCTAGGCCATGATGATGAGGAGGAGGGGGAGGGGGGGGTGGATGGGAGAGGAGAGGGAGGAGCGGAGGCGAGGGGAGGCGCAGGTGGTGGGAGTGAGAAGGGGAGCAGAGGGAGCAGGGGGAGCAGGGGGAGTAGGGGGAGCAGCGGAGGGGTGGAGAGGGATGGGGAGGAGGGTGGAGGGGGGGGGGGTGGGGAGGGGAGAGGGAGGAGAGGGAGGAGATGGGGTGGAGGAGAGTGGGAAGGAGGAGGAGGGCAAGGGGGGCGAAGGGGCAGAAGGGGGAGAGGAGGAAGGAGGGCAGAAGGCGCAGTTGACGGTTGATCCGGTGGTGGCGGCCCGGCTGGGTGTCACGGTGGAGCGCGTTGCTGACTGGCTGTGGACGCTGCATAAGATATGTGAGTAGCCTTGGCACGTCCCAAATCCAGGTATGCGAGGGGGCGAAGGGGGAGGGGAGGAGGAGGGAGGGCAGAAGGCGCAGTTGATGGTTGATCCGGTGGTGGCTGCAAGGCTGGGTGTCACGGTGGAGCGTGTTGCTGATTGGCTGTGGACGCTGCATAAGATATGTGAGTGGAGCAGAGGGAGATGTGTGAGTAGTGTTGCGTGGAGGGAGATTCGTCAGTAGAGCCCCACAAGATGTGTGATTTCGGCAGAGGGAGATGACTTCTGTGTCACCTCAGGCTGGGTGTGACAGTGGAGCGTCTTGCTGACCGGCTGTGGACGCTGCACAAGATATGTGAGTCGAGTGGCACAGCAGAGCAGGATCTGTGAGTGCAGCAGAGAGAGTTGAGTTTTGAGTCGACTCGGGTGTCACCTCAGGCTGGGCGTCACAGTGGAGCGCGTTGAAGACTGGCTGTGGACGCTGCACAAGATGTGTGAGTCGAGTCGCGACCATTGCAGTCACCTGTTGCCTTAGCTAAACCTCAAAACTCGAAACCCTAGTTTGCGATGTCATCTGCTGCTAATGTATCTCCTTGCCCGTCTCACCATGGCGTTCTACCAGGCGGAGAGGAACTAATATGGTTGCTTGCTGCGTCCCCTCTCCTGTGCCCTCCCAGAGCCCACACAACCTGCCCCTACCTCCTCTCTCCTCTCCCCTCTCCTCAGCCGTGGATGTGGGGCGCACGGACAGGCACATGGCGTTTTAGCAAGCGGAGAGAAATTGATTCGGTTGTTTGTTGTCATGTCATTGTGTCTCTCCTTGCTTCCTTCAACAGCTGCTAATAGAGGAGCGCACTGATAGGCACATGGCGTTCCACCAGGCGGAGAGGAATCATGGCACCATGTGTCACATCCCTACAGTTAAAGCCCGAGACTCTCTGTCCTCTCCTCTCCCACCTGAAATCCTCAGCGGTGGATGTGGAGCGCACAGACACACACATGGCGTTCTATCAAGCAGAGAGGAATCGCGCCACCATGTGTGACATCCTGGCCGTGCACGCCTGGATCGACCCCGCCACTGGCTTCTGTCAAGGTGCGCTGTGGTACCAGTATGGACGATGTCATGGGGGCAACCAGGCATGTGTGACATCCTGGCCGTGCACGCCTGGATCGACCCTGCTACTGGCTTCTGTCAAGGTGTGGTGTGCTTGTGATGGCCATAGCAGCATGTGTGAGGCACAAGAAGCTGTAAGATGCAGCTGCCCAGGCTGTAAGGCTGTAGGGTGCAGTCCACCACACGGAGCAGAGAGGAGCAGCGCCACCATGTGTGACATCCTGGCCGTGCACGCGTGGATCGACCCCGCTACTGGCTCCTGCCAAGGTGCGTCCTAATAGCAGCAGCATGCCATGACATCCTCTCCCCTTTCATCATGCTCTACGACCATCCTGCCCATCACCTCTCTCCATGCCTAAACCCTGCATCTTCTCCCTTTTCCATCCCTTCCCCCTACCTCAACCACCACGCATGTGCGACATCCTCTCCCCGTGCATCATGCTCTATCCTGCCAATGAACCCTATGGCGCCTCAATGCATCCCTCCTGCATCAGCTTCCCTCCTGCATCAGCTTCCCTCCTGCATCAGCTTCCCTTTCTCCCTCTTCCCTACCTCAACCACCAGGCGTGTGCGACATCCTCTCCCCGTGCATCATGCTCTACGGCCATCCTGCCGATGCCTTGCTACGTCTCAGCCTATCCACTGCTAAACGCTTCAATCCTTCCCCTTCCCCTTCCCCTTCCCCTTCCCCTTCCCCTTCCCCTTCCCCTTCCCCTTCCCCTTCCCCTTCCCCTTCCCCTTCCCCTTCCCCTTCCCCTTCCCCTCCCTTCACCAGGCATGTGCGATATCCTCTCGCCATTCATCATGCTCTACGCCCATCCTGCTGACGCCTTCTGGTGTTTTGAGTGCCTCTTCTCCCGCATTGTAAGCCCTGTGACTGCCACCCGTCCCATGCCACACAATGTAAGCCCTGCCTGCCACCCGTCCCACGCTTGACTGCCCCTGTCTCACAACGACTCAAAGCTGGTATTTTGAGTGCCTCTTCTCCCGCGTTGTAAGCCCTGCCTGCCACCCATCCCATCCCATCCCATCCCATCCCATCCCATCCCATCCCATCCCATCCCATCCCATGCCATGCTTCACTGGCCTTGGTTCACCACGTCTCAAGCTGGTGCTTCACTGGCCTTGGTTCACCACGTCTCAAGCTGGTGCTTCACTGGCCTTGGTTCACCACGTCTCAAGCTGGTGCTTCACTGGCCTTGGTTCACCACGTCTCAAGCTGGTGCTTCACTGGCCTTGGTTCACTCTCCCCCTCCCCCCCACTCCCACCAGCGCCACAACTTTGTATTAGAGGGGCCGGTGGGCATCCTGCGGCAGCTAGCGGTGCTGCGGGACGTGGTGGCGCTGGTGGACCCCGAGCTGGCCTCGCACCTGGAGGAGCTGGGAGCCGACAACTTCATGTTCGCCTTCCGCATGCTGCTCGTGCTCTTTAGGAGAGAGCTGCCACTTGTGGACGTGATCGTCATGTGGGAGGTGGGTGCTTGTTTGTAAGGAAGAATTTGGGCTACTGAGCTGGTAGTCTAAGTGGCGAAATACGCTTTTGCCTTTAAGCGTATAGCGTTTATCCGCTTGCGTATACACGCAAAACGCAATACGCTAGCAAATACGCAATACGCTCGGGAGTTTTTTTCTGGGCAGCCCAAGGTGAAAATTTTCAGGAATATAAAGAAATCTGCCGTTTTTCACGGCGATCATTTCGCGGTGGTCGAAATGCGCATCGGAGATCTATGGTAGCGGGAATGTCACTTCAATGTTTGGATTCAGGTTGGAGTTGCAATTTCGAATTTCAGGGTTCCACCTCTTGGAACCGAACCCAATCTACGAACTCCAACCTTTCCACTACGTCCCCTCCAACACATCGTTTCTCGTCAGATCTACTTCGTCGTACTCACCTAGTCACTCACTCCTAGTCCAAAACGCAATCAATGTCTACTGTTCCCAACCCGCCACCCGATCCCACGCAAGATAACGATAGGGCACGTCCTCTTTGTGAGACTAGGGAAGTAACTTCCCGATGTTGAGCACGAAGTCCTTAAGCATTTCGCGTCATAGGGGAAAAAATGAACCTGAGACATAACCTCCGTGAATCGCCCCTGTGAACTATACCTAGGGTGTTTTTTTCACCCTGCCTGGGTTTTTTTTACCCTGCCCGAAAAAGCGTATTCCTGGATTCGGGACCTTAGCGTATAGCGTATAAACGCATGCGTATATACGACACGCGTATATACGCTATACGCGTATTTCGCCACTTAGCTGGTAGTTACAGGGGGGGAAGTTGGGTTGGGTGGTGGCGCTGGTGGACCCCGAGCTCGCCTCCCACCTGGAGGAGCTGGGCGCGGCGGACAACTTCATGTTCGCCTTCCGCATGCTGCTGGTGATGTGATCGTCATGTGGGAGGTGGGTGCAGGGGAGGAGGTGGGTTGTGTAGGTACCTGACGCATCTGGAGGAGCTGGGAGCGGACAGCTTCATGTTCGCCTTCCGCATGCTGCTGGTTCTCTTTAGAAGAGAACTGCCCCTCGTGGACGTGATCGTCATGTGGCAGGTGGGTGAAAGGGAAGAGGTGCGTTGGCTAGACGGTGGGTCACAGGGCAGAGGGATAACTTGATGTTCGCCTTCCGCATGCTGCTCGTGCTCTTTAGAAGAGAACTCCCCCTCGTTGACGTCATTGTGATGTGGGAGGTGCGTTGGGGTACAATCAGGGTTACCTGGGGAGCTGGGCTACAGGGGGGGAAGGTGGGTTGGGTTGGGTGGTGGCTCTCGTGGACCCCGAGCTCGCTTCCCACCTGGAGGAGCTGGGCGCGGATAAATTCATGTTCCCCTTCCCCCTTCCCCCATTCCCCCATTCCCCACTGTGCCCCCCCCCTTCCCCCATTCCCCACTGTGCCCTCCCCCTTCCCCCTTCCCCCATTCCCCACTGTGCCCCCCCCCTTCCCCCATTCCCCACTGTGCCCTCCCCCTTCCCCCTTCCCCCATTCCCCACTGTGCCCTCCCCCTTCCCCCGTCCCCCATTCCCCACTGTTCCCCATGCTCTGTTTCCCCAGATGATGTGGGCGGCGGATTTTGACTCGCGAATGGCATCAGTGCTCCTCCATCACCCCCCTGAGGGTCTCAACCTGGTCGCCGAGCCGCACACCTGGTCCACCGGTCCCCTCCCCCCCCTCGACTCCCCCACCAACGACGCCGCCACCACCCCCGTACCGTTCTCCACCGCTTCCAACCAAGGCTCGGGGTCGTCTCTAGGGGGGTTTGACGTGATGGGGCTGGGCGGGGGGAGGAGAGGGGGGATATGGCGGTCCGGGCAGCTGACGGCACAGGATGTGGAGGGAGGGGCGAGTTTGATGTCTCAGTGGGGAGAGGCGCGAGTGGGAGATGAGGATTTGGCGGTGTTCTGTGTGGCGGCCATTCTGAGGGTCAACCGGAAGAGACTGCTGCTTGTGGAAGGTTCTGACGAAGCTATTAAGGTGGGTCCTGGCTCTTGAAGCGGCCCAGATGTTACAAAAACAAATGAACCGCCTCAGAAACGGGACCTGGCCATGTTCTGTGTGGCGGCCATTCTGAGGGTCAACCGGAAGAGACTGCTGTTGGTTGAAGGGTCTGATGAAGCAATCAAGGTGGGTCTATGTTCGGAACGTCTGAAAAGGCCATGTGGAGGGGGGGCCGAGTTTGATGTCGCAGTGGGGGGAGGCGTGGGTGGGAGATGAGGACCTGGCGATGTTCTGTGTGGCGGCCATTCTGAGGGTCAACCGGAAGAGACTGCTGGTGGTGGAAGGATCTGACGAAGCCATCAAGGTGGGTCTTGCCTTCTGAGGCGCCTAAGGTATTATCTCTATTCTGAGGCGCCTAAGGTATTATCTATATTCTGAGGCGCCTAAGGTATTATCTATATTCTGAGGCGCCTAAGGTATTATCTATATTCTGAGGCGCTTGATCCATTCTGTTCTGTGTGGCGGTCAGGGCAGCTGACGGCACAGGATGTGGAGGGAGGGGGGGGGGAGTTTGATGTCTCAGTGAGGGGAGGCTCGGGTGGGGGATGTGGACCACCTGCATCCACCTGCGCTGCTTTCTAACCTCTCTACCTTTCACATTCATGCTCTCTCTCACCCCTCCCTGCCCCACTCAACCCATCAGATGTTCAACGATGTGGAGCTCGTATTAGATGTGGTTTCCTGCATCCATCTCGCCATCAAGCTCCGCACCAAGTACTTCAGAAAGGTGTGTACATGCAAAAAACCATCTTCATATATATGTCTACATGTAGTATAGATACACCATGTACTTGTTTTGATTCTTGTTTCTCACAACTAGCTTCTGGGCCCACAAGCTGGTGCACTTGACATGTTCCCCTTTCACACCCTTTCGCAACCCCTCTAATTGCCCTTGTGTCCCCCCCTCCCTCTCTCCGTTGGATTGGACTCACACTCCACGTTCTTGCAGGCTCCACGCGGCATCAGGGCTCGATAGCATCTCAAAATGCATTCAGGCTCGAAAGCACCCCCCAGCTGTGGAAATTTTGCACGCATACTCACAAAACAACGATGCCTTATCTTCTGGGCACGAGACGGAACCAGTGACAACTATCGTGGTGCTCCCGCAGGCCAGGAGCATGCTGTATTCTGAAATAAAGAACATGTGGCTGTACACATCAAGTGGGGCCACTCAAGCCTGAGCTTTAGTTCACGCTGTTAGTCGCTCCTATCATGCGGTTCTTTAGGGCTTCCATTAATTTCCATTGTACGTTGCAGCTTTGATTGATTACGTGAGAGTTGGATGTAAGCAGTATTTTAGCAGCTTATAACAGAGAGCAGCTACAACTGTAGCCGTAATACAATGGGTCGCTTTCTTCGTCCTCTCCCTCCACCACTTGTCGCCCAGTCCATACCTCGACCGCACGAGAACCGAAATTGCAGTTCGATGAAGATGGTATCGACGGCTCACAACTATCCTTCGGCTGCACAAATGTGTCAGACATTTCCCGCCGACACAGTCATTCTGTCCACCTAGATTCTACCTCCTAGACAATGTGTCAGATCACGAGAGGATGATAAAAAGCAGCTTTCATAATTGACGGCTAGCCGTAAAAATTCTTCAAATGGTTCCAGCGTACACCATAGATGCGCCGTCATCAAGCATCCATGCAAAACCTTTCTGTTGAGCATGCCTGCCAAGTGTCCGAGCCAGTGTCAGGCACGCGCCCACCGCCATGGCATCACTCAGCGAGCAGGACCTTTTTCTCTGTTCCTTGGATATTAATTCCAGGTGCACGCACACTCGCACCTGGCGTCACAGGCAATGTTGGCCAAACCATCTCGCCGTGCGTATTGGGAGAGAACTATCCTTCGGGCTCCGTTTCGTTTGTTCAATCCGGTTTGACTCGGTTGTGCTCGGCTGGTCGGGTTCCAGGTCGGCTCCCACCGGCTTCTCTCAGTCCCGTGGTTCGCAGTCCCGGGCTCGTCTAGCTGATCGCGTCGCGGATTTCGCGATTCGATTCTCACCGATGCGCTCGTGAAGCTGCACGGAACGGAAATTGCTTGCTGTTGAGTCAACCCAGCAAAAGGAGGTCGGGCCGACTTGGTAATTTTTGAATTTCCTGGAGGGGTCGATTCACGCGGCTGGGGAGGTCTGTTCCCTTCGCCGCTCGGCACACGTCCTTCTGAACAACAGATAGCCGTTGGGGTGCCAGGTTACCGTTAAGGTTGACTCTCCCTCCCAACTAGCGCATCTGACCACTTTCTCATCTACTCCTCATGGCCTCCTTGCACGCCGCCTCGCCGCGGTTGGCGGCCATGGCGTCATCAGCTCGTCCTGCCACGTGCACCCGCGTTACAAAGTCACAACCCCGTGCTGTTCAACTCACATCCACTACAGTCACACCCTTCTGGAGCGCCGTACGCCACGAGCCGCACCGTCTGATTCAACCCGCTGCTAGGCGCTGCACTGGAGTGCCAACGGGAAGAAGAGCCGTTACCAGCGTGCCTCGCGTGCTGACAGGAAGAGGAAGCAGCAGCATGCCTCAAGTGTTGCGGAGCATGCCTCGTGCTGCCCACGGGGATGGTGCGACTGAAACCGCTGCTGGTGCCGATGCAAATGGAAAGCCTGAGGATGGGAGTGTGTATCTTGCCACTGATCCCCGGTCCACGCGCGGGGTGACTAAGTCGGTTGCGGAGGAGGCGAGGGGATACCTGGAGAAGGCAGAGGAGGATTTTTTACAGGTGAGCCTGATACGCTGTAAAAGTTACGTTATGTCTTAAAAGTCAGTGGGGGGGGAGGAGGCGAGGACAGTGGGGAGGAGGCGAGGGGTTATTTGGAGAGGGCAGAGGGAGGGCTTCCTGCAGGTGAGCCTTCAAGCCTCTCTTTCCCCATCCGTTCACGTAGCACCAGGGATGGGTAATCATTTTTGAGGCGCCTCAAAAGGTGAGCCTTGAAGCCTCTGTTTCCCCATCCGTGCACGTAGCACGGGTAATCATTCTCACCAACTGCCACACTTTCTCATCACTGCACCACGTTCTTCGCCCTCTAGGTTCGATGCGTCTCATTATTCAACAGTGCCTTCCTCTCCTCCTCCTCTCCCTCCCCCCGTTTAATCGGTTCACTCAGCACCTGGGGCGAGCGCTCATCCTCACCACCACACACTCTCTCAGAACTGGACCCCGATTCCTGCCCTCCAGTTTTGATACGTCTCGTTTTCTCAACTCCACCTTCCCTCCTTCCCCCCTCGCCTTCCCCCCATCAGTTCACGCAGCACCTGGGGCGAGCACTCATCCTCACCACCATCCCTGGGGTTGTTTTGGAAACCCTTCGTGAGCTCTCAGGTGGGTCTGGGCACTCTCAAAGCAGTGGGTCACTCTGAAAGGGAAAGCTGTGAAAGCTGCACTAGTTGATTTATATGTCGACTCAAAAGTCGCTGCATGCTCGTTGCATGGGCGATGTGCAGACGAGAAGTTGTTGTGTCTGAACTTATTTCGATTCTTGACAGCCTCAAATGAACCACTGTTGACTCCTCCATCCCTCATGCCAGACCCTGCCATTTTTCCCATCAACGCCACCAGGATCGAGGGTTCAAGGATGGGACGTGGTGTGGTTCTGCTGGGCGGCAGGGCTTGTCCTGGGGTGCATGGTCGGGGTGGGCGAGGTCATGCAGAAGCACCAGAGGCGGCGCGCTGCCGCCCGCCTGCCGCCTAGAAGAGTTGTCCTGACTGGAGGCTCCAGGGGCCTTGGCAAGGCCATGGCTCGAGAGTTCCTATTGGCTGGTGATGATGTGTTGCTGACATCAAGGAGGTAAGTGATGACGTGGCGCTGACATGGATCTTCCATGTCAGCATGGATATGCCATAAATTGGACAGTATCCGTTACACGCTCACGTTTTTCCTTATGTTGCACTGCCCAATAGGGTCCCACCGCTTCTCATCTCCCTTGACTGGACTGCACCGCCATTTTCAAGCAACGTGCCCCAAACCCTGACCCACCCCCCTTGTCTCATCTCATGAAACTTCGGCCTTCCTTATCCCAGTGAGCAGGGGGTGGAGGAGGCACTGAGAGCACTGCAGCAGGACACGTGGGTGTTCCCCCCTGGCTGTTCCTTCACGCCCCTTTTTCAACATGTGCCCTTTCATGCATCCCGCAGTGAGCAGGGGGTGGAGGAGGCACTGAGAGCACTGCAGCAGGACACGTGGCACATCACAGGGCGCGCCCCCGTTGCTGTGCTGGTCAAGGCTGGGTCCAATCGGATGGAGTCAACGCAGTCAAGCAGGTCAGTTATGACTCGGCTCAAAAGTCACTTCGTGCCATGATGCCATGATAATATGACTCCATGTTTCAAAGATTTCATGATGTCTTGGTGTCATGTGTTTTTGTATGCAGGGAGGTATGGGAGCTGCCCCAGGCTCATGGGGTGCAGCAGCAGGAGAAGCAGCGCCATGAGCAGCAGAGAGTGGTTGGCATTGCCTGCGACGTGCGGTCGGCAAGCGACGTCCAGATGCTTGCTGACGTGGCACGGCAGGAGCTGGGACGAGTCAACATCTGGGTGAGTGAGCTGACAAGTTTATCTAGAAACGGTCTTTGCTCAACAACATGACCTTTGAGTCGACTCAAAAGTCAACTTGCTCAACAACATGACCTGCCATGCAGTCATTCCAGTCATGCCAATCAAGTCAACCCCATCCATCCTTTTTCTTTTTTGTTGGGGGCATTTGACGCCTTGCATGCACGTTAGCACTGCTGAACATGCCTGTGCGCCTGAGGCACTCGTTGACTTGTGTTGACTTGCACCGATTTGTGCTGCATTGTCGGTTTGTGCTGCTTGTTTTAGACGTGTGTTTAGTGCGCTTATTGATGTTTTCTTGTTGTCACTGGTGTTGACTTGTGTTGACCATGCCAGGTGAACAACGCAGGCACCAACCCCATGGCCAAGCCCTTCGCTGACTTTGAAGACCACGAGCTGGAGCAGGTGAGAGCTGGAGCAGGTGAGAGCTGGAGCAGGTGAGAGCTGGAGCAGGTGAGAGCTGCAGCAGGGTGAGAGGTTCAGGAAGGGCAGGGGAGAAGTGGAGCAGGTGAGAACTTTTGAGTCACTTCTTTTGAGTCGACTCAGTAGTCACTTCATTGACTTTGAAGACCACGAGCTGGAGCAGGTGGGAGCAGGTGAGTGTTGCCTTGCGTTGACTTGTGTAGACTCTTGCTGAGTTCCCTGCTCTGCATGCACGCAGCAATGCACCTCATGCAGCAGCAACCGTGCCCCCAGACCAAACAACCAGCCATGTGTTCAACCCCACTTGCTTCTTGACTCACCGTTCCTGTTCCTCCAGGTGGTCTCCACCAATCTGCTGGGCTCGCTCCTATGCACGCGGGCAGCAATGCGCCTCATGCAGCAGCAGCAGCCGTCCATGCGCCTCATGCAGCAGCAGCAGCCGTCCCTACCAGACCAAACAGCCAGCCATGCGTGTGTTCAACCTCTTCAGTCCCTGCCTCTTGCTGTCCTTCGTCTGCCCCTACTTCCAGGTGGTTTCCACCAATCTGCTGGGCTCGCTCCTATGCACGCGGGCAGCAATGCGCCTCATGCAGCAGCAACCACCCTCCCTACCACACCAAACAACCGGCCACGTGTTCAATTTGGAAGGCGCAGGGTCGTGGGGGGGCGCCACGCCACAGTATGCTGCATACGGCGCCACCAAGTGTGCGCTCCGGCAGCTGGGGGCGTCACTGGTGGAAGAAGGGAGACTGGAGGGGAGTGAGAGGGGGAGGGAGGTGGGGACTGGGGTGGGGAACGATTCGAGGAGAGAGGGTGGGAGTGAGGGGGCAAGTGGAGGAGGGGTGGAAAAGGGAGGGGGGAGGAGGGGAAGAGTGGGTATTCATGCGGCGTCCCCAGGGCTGGTGCTGACGGATCTGCTGCTGAGTGGAGCGACGGTGGCCAACAAGCAGGCCTTCAACATTGTGGGGGAACACCCCGAGACCGTTGCCCGCGTGCTCGTACCCCAGGTGATTTTCGGTGCTGTGCTGTGCTGTGATGTGCGGTGATGTGCTGACGGACGGGTGGGTCTAAAATGGCTGGTGCTGACGGATCTGCTGCTGAGTGGAGCAACGGTGGCCGACAAGCAAGCATTCGACATCGTGGGGGAACACCCCGAGTCTGTCGCACGAGTGCTCGTTCCCCAGGTGCTGAGTCAGGTGGTTCTTCAGGTGGCTCAGGTGTTGTCGTTAAGTGTTCCACAAGGTGATGTGTTGACTGATGGATAGCTCAGGTCGTGCAGACGCTTCATTCAGTGCATATGCCTGCTTTACTCAGGTGCCACGTCAGGTGTTGCTTCAGGTACTGCTTCAGGTACTGCTTCAGGTACTGTTGCCTCAGGTGCGGACAAGTTGCTCTGATGGATCTTTCTAGAGCTTCATACATGATGTATTTCTTTTCTTCTTTTCCTGCACATCCGTGTTATTCTGCCTGTATCAGATGCGCACTGTAAGGGGTACGGGGTCCACAGTGAGCTACCTCACACCGCCCCGCATAGTCCTGGCCATCCTGTCTGCCTGGATGCGCCGAGGCCGCTGGTTTGACCAACAGGTGAGGAGAATGGGAGAGTGGCTGGAAGCCTTGGCTATAAGTTACAGTACCAATCTTCTCTGTAAGTTACAGTACCAATCTTCTCTGTAAGTTACAATTATTGATTTATTGTTGGCTCGAGCGATGGGCCTTTGTCCATACCTCTCAGACCGAGAGAGGAGCAAGGCGTTTATGCAGCTTGAGTCATTTATCAAAATCCTCCCCTTCTCCATACCTCCTCTCTGTCCAGGGTCAGGCCGTGTATGCAACGGAGGCGCAGAGGCTGCGGGCATGGGCGGAGGGCAGAGACAGGTCGGCCATCGGGGCAGCGATGGATGCCGTGCCCAGCATAGCTTGGCTCTCCCTCGCATCAATCCTCCCTTTGTCTGTGTCCCACATTGCTGCAGGGGCAGGCCGTGTATGCAACGGAGGCGCAGAGGCTGCGGGCGTGGGCAGAGGGCAGAGACAGGTCCCCCGTCGGGGCGGCAATGGATGCAGTTCCCAGCACGGCTTGGCTCTCCCTGGCCTCCTCATCCCTTGGGGTGTTCCTCATTGTTGCGTCCATGCTCCTGCAGAACTCAGGAACGTAGCTAGGGATTCGTCGGATTTAGATGACTTGATGTGTGTCTTTGGTCCCTGACATACCATAGCTTGTCTCCCCCTCACCTCCTCATCCCCTTAGCATGTGGTTAATTGTGACATCCATGCTCATGCAGCACTCGGGACATATATTGGGTGTAAATTTGTAGACCCAGGTCCATCCAGCACTGTGTTTCAATAAGGTGAAAAGATGTTAATCAATTTGACAATGTTATGAAATGCAGTGGAGGGCTTACACCCCTGATACATATGTTCCCATCCCATGTGTTGTGTTTCTCAATAGTCGTGTTGGCTCATGAAGATCGTACGGCAAGAGAAACGTTTTTACAAAATTGTGAATACCAAAGCCCTGCAACACTGTCCAAATTTCAGACCCTGTAACTTTCAGTAAATCCAAGGGCCACGTTTTGTGTTTGGAACGGATCGGATGCTAACGGAAATTTAGAGTGCCTGTTCTCAGATGACTTCAAGAAGATTGTCGCTTCGACTTCGCATTCAAGCAGAAGCCATGGCTTTGCCATTCATCCGTGAGCTTCCAGGGCATGTGTCAAGGAAGGTTAGGTCTTCGGTTGTCGTCCCTTCACTATCGCAGCTTACGGAAGAGCTAGTTTGCAATAGCCTTGACGCAGGAGCTACAGAGGTGAACGGCGACATGGCTTGTTATATATCTGCCTACTTATTTCTAGCTCTGAAACAGAGCGATAATACACGTTACGTTTTGTGCTCAGGTGTCTGTGACGGTCGACTCATCAGCGGCGACGATTAGAGTGGATGACGATGGTAATGAGTGTGCTGTTCCGTTGACCGACTAGGTGTGTACAGGCGATTTTACATTACGGCTATCCTCCGTTTACAGGCTGTGGCATCTCGCGTAATGACCTGGTGCTGCTTGGTGAGCGTCAAGGTGCGTCAAGAAAACGTTAGATCATACTACAATTTTTGTCGTTCACGTTCCTCTCAAGGACCACCTTCTGACCTTTAGGCTTCCATCAACAGCGACGTCGAAGCTCCAATCAATTACGGAGCTTGAAGCTGGTCCCACAACACTGGGATTTCGTGGAGAAGCACTCTTCTCAATCATGGGCCTCTCCCTGGTCGAGATTGTGACTCGTCCGAGGGGGTCTGCCAGCACGTACTGCAAGATTTGTAAGGTGAGTCATTATTCTCTACATTGTTAGTGTATGGAATGAAATTTGGGCTTACGGCCTCCTGATGCAGGGTGGAAGAACACTTTCTGTTGGCATGACAAAGAAGCTGAGATCAACTGGCACGACAGGTGCGCGCACTGTCTGGTTTTTGCTGCTGTGAGTATTGTCGCATCACATTGAATTAAGTTTGAGCTACAATATGTAACTGGTTGCAGTTATTGTTCAAGACATATTCTTCAACCAACCAGTCAGGCGACAGCTAGTGGAGAAGAAGTTAGTACGCTTCTCCGACTGTGTTTCTTTTGTCCATCACCTTCGCTGTTTATAAAAACAGGACACTAACCCTGTTATGCACATGTCTCATGCTTGTTGTTTACTTAACCTCACGTTCGATTTTTTTTGTCTCTAGCTTATCCAAGGAGATTCAGAGCATCAGGGACAGAGTTGGTCATTTGGCGTTCATGTATCCACAAGTTTCATTTCTGGTGTCGGATGCTGCAAGGTGAGATTTTGAAAGTGAATTTATTCTTGGTAGATGGATTAGCTACCAGACGTTATCAATCTTTAGTTGAATGTGCACAGGAGCAAGGCTCTGCTATCATTGTCTGGTGGAAGGTCCGTGGGCTCCAGCATAAAAGATGTGTTTGGAGCTGCCATTTTCGAGTCAATGAAAGAGATTGGCTATCAGAAGGGTGACTTGAGGCTGTCTGGCTTCATCTCACGGCTGGTGCAACACGAGTCCTCAAGAGATATACAATACCTATGTAATCTTCTTCTCTTTTTCAATCCCAATACATATACACTGCCTTTGTTAATGTATGCTTGGTGGTTAATTCTGGCAGACATAAACAAGCGTTTGGTGAAGAACACTCGATTTCACAAGTTAATGAATTCCAGCTTCACCACATCGCTCAGCTTGCACTCAGAAGCTGAAACAGGCGCCGGGTTAACTGGTTTCCAAGACTTGATGTTTGTTGTTAACCTGTCATGTCCACGGTCCTCTTACGACATCACGTTTGAGCCTACAAAGACATATGTGGAGTTTAAGGTACGCAATGTTGTTCCTTCACTAGATTTTGTTATTTTTGTCGGATCATGTTCTATTGGCTGGATGCCTGGATTGCAGAACTGGAAGACTGTTTTGGAGTTTTTTCAAGAGGTCTTGCGTGACGTGTGGCCTTCCAGCAAATCGCCTTTGGCTGAATCAGGTTGGTTGGTGGCGAAAATGCATGTTAAAGATTACTAGAATGGCAGTCTGACTGACATTCATTTGTTCATGTGGCCCTCATGTTGTCAGGCCTGATGGTGCAATCCAGGAAGAAGAAAATTCAGAAGTCATGGCAGAAAACTGATCCCAGTTACCGGCCAAGCCATCCGATTGCGCTATCCAGCAGATTAAGCAAGCACATACATGGAACCAGCCACCTGCTTCTGCTTGAAGAATCAGGCGAAACCTCATTCGAAGAATGTCCCGGTTCAGCGTACAAAGCTGATCGGTTACAATCTCCCATCAATCTGGGTTCCAAGGCATTTCAAACCAAAAGCACAAAGAGACAGAGCAGACGTGAAGGGAATACTGGCCAAGCTAGGGCGTCCACTTTGCATGTGGATCTCGACAACTCAAGCGAGTGCACTCCTCGGCCCTTTTCTCAGCACGATTCGTATCGAGAACTCTCCCCATTCGCGTCGGCAAGAGACTCATGTCTTCCGCCTACAGTAGCGAAAGGGAGTAGGCCCACAGAAGATCATGCCACGGACTTGCCTGCATCCAATCAGCTTGACTGGACCATGGATCTACAGGTAGGTCACAAAGCTGGTGATGTACTGTTTGAGTGTATGTTTTGTATTTGGTAGCTGACGACTTCTTTTGCAGCTGGAGCCAGGTGGGATGGACCTCGAGACCTCCCGATGCCTCTTTGGAGAAATAGGACACGGTGATCAACAGCCTCTGGAGCCCATGCCCAAGCGAAGAAAAAAAGCATCACTGGAAGAGAAACGTCTTTCTGAAGGCGATGGACCTTCACACTGGTCGTCGATGATCAATCCAGAAGTTGTTTCAGATGACTTGATGCTGGCTGGTATGGAGCACCTCCAGGACATTCAGCTACAGAGGCCGATGAATGAGTACAGGACCAGCAAATCAGCCTCCTTGAAGACTGCGCCTGATTTTCCTGCTGTTGGCTCGCTTGAGTTTCAACAAGCAGTCGAGTTCATTGATCCGCTTATTGAAACCCAAGTTGACCCATCAAGCAATCTGGAGCAATGTAACAAGCAGAAGGCATGGGGTCTGGTTGCCTGTGGAGGTAAGCAGATTGAATATATTATAAGTTTTCCAGTTCTGAAAATACAATTACGGCTGAATCAGCATGTTGCTGACAAAGTTGCAGGTGCATCTGAGACAGCAAAATCAGCAAAGGAAAGTTTTCAAGAGCACGGCTTGACCCCTGGAGCTCTGGCTTCTTCACCTTTGGTGATTGCAGAGGAAACAGGCAACGAGCAGAAGCATGCATGTGCACTGCCTATGGCTGAAAAGACTGCTGGACCAGTTGAATGCAGAGAAGAATCTGTTCCAGCACCAGCGCATCTGGCTATTGTAGAAGCTCATCACGCTGATGAAGTGGCAGGCTGTTGCTGCTCATCCAAGTGGAGAGATGGGCATGCGCCTGCATGCACTGATAAGAACGATCTAGGGTTGACAAAGTCTGTGAAGGAAATGTACCAGGTAAGGTCTTCAAAGCTTATATGAAGATATAAATCATTCACTTTCCTATTCGAAGCCTTTGCTTGCTGTTAAATCTGTGTTATCTTTTATGCAGCATTGGTGCAAGACCAGCCTTGGCGAGAAGGAAGAGGTGGAGCCAGAAATTCTTGACTTACAGACATTGGCTTCCAGATCCATGCAGTTTGATAGTCACAGAAGGCAGCATCGCCCTCTGATTCCAACCTCTGTTACCAGAGAGACTCTGCTTCAGGCAAAGTGCTTGAAGCAGGTGGATGGGAAGTTCCTGATTGCCACTTCTGGCTCAACCGTGGTCGCCATTGATCAGGTAAGCAGTCAAAAGATTCTGATGAGTGTGTTCTGTCAGCAGTGTAGTTCTTCTGACCACCTACATATATGTGTGTATATGTGTGCAGCATGCGGCAGATGAAAGGGTTTGTCTTGAGGAGCTCCGCAAGGAGGTGAGTGAAGTTGCCTGTCTGGTTGAATAAGTAAGGTTCCATATTGTGCAATTCTGAGTCTCTTTGATGGTGTTGCAGGTTTTGGAGAATCAGTCAGCCGTAGTGCCACTACTCCTTGATACACCCTCTGACTTGGTGAGACACCATGTGTCAGCAATGTAGACCTTGAACGTCCCACCCTACCATTCATCAGATTTATTTCTTGTGTTTTCATTTTCCAGCCAATCACAGCAGGGCAAGAAGGGTGTCTGAGGTCATATCAAAGGCAAATAGAACGATGGGGATGGCGTTTTAAGCTCTCTACAAGTGGCAACGCAGAAAAATCTTTCAGCACACATCGTTCGACTCAAATGGGAGCTGATGCTATGGCTATGCTTAGCCAATCAAGGCAAGTCCCAGGTTCCTGAACATTTTGCTTGCCATTGTTTTGTAGGAAACTAGCCTGTGCACGCTTGCTCCTGCAACCACTTCCAATGTCCCCATGTCCCCCTCTCAGACGTCCAGGCAAATCTCAGTGCACTCCATCTCGACTTATTGTACTCGCGGTATGGATGTAGTGTGCAAATGTATCCCTGTTTGTCCATTTCCTTATGAAAATCCTCGTTTCGTTCCAAAAATCCACTCACTTGAAACTGCAGGTTCCACACTTGCTGGGCACCTCTCTACGTGCAGAAGACCTTCTCGACTACTTGCTGCAGGTACTGAACGTACTCACAGCTCATGCAGACTCCAATCAAGTTTTCCTCTAGTTTTATATGCTTTTGTCCACATCTTTAATGCCCAATGATTATCCATGCCTTATGTGAGCTTGCAGCTTCAAGAAACTGGTGGCCTTGCATCTACACCACCACGGGCAGTTGTGCAATTGCTGGCATCAAAAGCTTGTAGAGGTGAGCTTATTTTTTTCATGCTTCCTGCGCACGTTGTTGTTCTGGTGGTTTCACAGTTGTCTGCTTTGTTATGCAGGTGCCATCATGTTTGGAGACATGCTGAAGCCATCTGAGACTTCCCAGCTCATTGAGTGTTTGAAGCACACACAGCTGCCCTTCCAGGTGAGCACGTACATTGTTAGATGCTGCTGTTTTTGGGTGCTGAAGATGATGTGCTGATGTATGGGTGCATTGCCATGTGTGATGCAGTGTGCACATGGGAGGCCAACCATGGTTCCGCTTGTGGACCTCGACGAGCTGAAGAGATTGGTTGAAGGCATCGAGTTGCAAGGCAACCAGAAACCTGGACTTGGAGAGGACTTGTGTTGAGATCCATCCACAGGAAGAGCAGTGCAGTTTTTCATGTAGTTCAGACCAATGCAGTATAGTGCTCACAGCTAGGGTACGGTATAAGATAGTGTCAAACGAAGTTGACATACTGGATGAGCCAGCAAGCCAATGACAGTGTCTGATAGATGCCGAGACAACTAGCACTTAATCGTTTTCGAACAGTATTGGATTGGACAGGATAGGCGACATGCCTATGTCAGGCAGCACAAGAAATGCAGTCCAAGCGTTGTCCAGTTAGCCTACTCTATCAAAACCAGCACATGTAGTGGATTGTCCAGCACCTACTTCTTTTCAAGAACAGCCTTATGCCCTTCATCCGACACCAGAATCGCCACCAGAACCACCCCCAACATGGTCAAAATCAGCACAGTTCCGAGGTGAGCCAAATACCGCTGCGTAACGGTACGCCTCTCCGCGTTCCCCGCTTCCACACCTCCCTCCACCTCTCCCCCCTTTTCCTTCGCATCCGCCTCACGCCGAGCCATCTCAACCGTCCATTTCACCCTATCAAGATCCCCCTCCTTAACAGCCTTAACCAGCTCAGCCTCTCTATCAGCAAGAGCCAATCCCATAAGCTTTTTTCGGGACGGAGGGGGAGCGGGCCGGGACCAAAGGAACCGGGTGATTTGCCAGAGGAGTGGAGCGAGGTAGAGAGCGATAATGACATCAACCGAGTAGTGCGATCTCTCTCGGATGTCCCTTTGAGCGGCGTGCATCACCAGCACCCACACCATGGCAGACCCCCACCCTGGGTGAGCCTCCTGTGGTTTAGAATCACCATGCATAGAAAAGAGGGGAATGGCTTGGGTAAACTGGGTATTGTGTAAAGGAGAAAGGGCAGGTTATAGAATCAGCAAAATAAACGTATTCACCTATCATGATTTTTCATTTTAAATTATTTTTGGTGCCCTATGCCTTTTTTTTTCTCCTTTTCCCTTTAACCCACCTGCCAGGCGCAAGCCGTGAGCGCTGCAACAACGATATGACCACTGAAGGCAAGGTCGTTGCAGCCACCGTAGGGGCGGACGACGAAGCTGCTGAAAGCTCCAGAGGAGGCAGCAGCGCCGTCATGAACGCGGGCGTCCATGGGACGCAAGAAGTCCACCAGAAATTGCAGCGAGCCCCAGTCAGGGCGGAACTCGGGCGGATAGCTCATCTGAGGGGCTGGGGAAGAATGATGGGGAAAAGTGGCACAACTGGAAAATTTGAGTCCGTTTCATGGAACGCAGGAAGGCCACCAGGAACTGCAGCGAGCCCCAATCAGGGCGAAATTCTGCGGGGAAGAACTGGGTGGGGGCTGGGAAAGAAAAGAAGGGCAGGAGAAAAAAAAAGGCAGGAGAAAGGGCGCAAGGGAGGTAGTTAAGTCCATGGGACCGCAGTGCAAAACACCCCAGTCAGGGCGAGATTCAGGTGGAAAGGACTGGGCGTGCGCTTGGGAGAGTATAAGGAGGAAGAAACAAGAGAGAAAGGGGCAACAGGGATAGCTGGGTCCATGGGAGGCAGGAGGGCCACCAGCCCCTCCAGCACATCCAAAGTCCGAGCAGAAACTGAGCAGAACTTGGGCGAAACGACTGGGGAGCCCGCTGGGGGCATTACAGAGAAGGAATGACGGGAGGAGGAGCACACGGGAAGGCCATCAGCCCCTCAAGCACACCCAAAGTCCGAGCAGAATTTGAATGAGAACGACTGGGGGGGACTTGTGCTGCCATGCCCCATCTGTTCAGAGACCATGGTTTGACTCTTGACGAGGTATTAGCTGGTGAAGTGGTTTCTTCAATCGTGTTTCCATTCACGTTTTGTTCAGGTTTTACGGTTCAGACAAGGTATTACCTGAGGACTGGTCATTCTCACATCTGCTCGTATTTCAAACTTAGCACGTAAGCTAACCATCTGTGCGTGTGCATGTGTGCGTGTGCGTGTGTGCATGTGTGTGTGCGTGCGTGTGCATGTGTGTGTGCGTGTGCGTGTGTGCATGTGCATGTGCGTGTGCGTGCGTGTGTGTGTGGGCGGGGGGGGGGGGGGGGGTGTTTGGGGGGGAGAGGGAGTGGGGCTTACCAAACGCAGTATCCGTGGAAATCAGCTGATGCAACAGGTCGGGATTGTCGCTATACGGCGTCAGGTACTTGGCCGCCCAGGGATGCGGGTGCCGGGGGCACGTGTCACCAAACCGCGACTCCGCACACCACGGCCGCGGCGCGGGCAGAATCGTGGACGAAAACGTGGCTACCCGCAGGATTCGGCTCAGCCCGATTGAGAAGACGTAGCGTGAGCCCAGCGCCATACCCGGGCCGGGAATCGCGCCGACGAGAACGGAGAAGGCGAGGAGCATAAAGAGCATAATGAAATCGTGCATTTCCACGATGGGCGCGCGGAGAAGCGCCGTGAGGGGCGCGGGGAGGCGGTCGTTCAGACCGAGGAGAATCCACTGGCCCGTGTCAGGGAGAGGCGTGACGGTTCTGGGCGGGAAGGGGGGGAGGGGGAGGGGGAGGGGGAGGGGGGAGAGGAAGGACGATGAGCGCGGAAGGCGGTTGATGAGGGCGCGGAGGATATCCACTGAATTGTGCTTGCGGCAACTCAGACTCGCGCCAATCGAGACTCACTTGTGCCGGTCGAGGCCGACAACGACTGTGACGAACTGCACCGCAATAACCTCCACGGTGACTTCTAAAACAACTCGATCTCACCTCATTTTAATAATAGATTATGCCGATTTTACACTCACCCGCGCTGAAACTTACTTGTGCCAGTCGAGGCCGAGAACGACGGTGACAAACTGCACGGCAATAACCTCCACGACGAAAGCAAGCAGCATGAACCCAACGCACGCCAGAAACTTGGGCACGTTCCGAAACTCGTCCGCAAAATGGCGGTACCGCTGGCTCTGCACGACGCCGAGAATCCCGAGGAAGGCCCATAGAGCCAGCGGGAATTTCGCCGCGACATGCGGGGGAAGCCAGTCCGTGCGCGTGCAGACGAACTCTATCAGAACGTAGGCTAGACCGATGGTTCCTAGGTTTAGGACCTTCCGCGCGACGCGCAGCAGCGGAAAGCCTTGGGAAGCGGAAGAAGCGGTCATCGTGGTATAGGCGGAAGCGGGGAGCCTCGAGGTGACAGGCAGTGAAGAAGCCAGATTGGAGAAGATCGTTCAAGTTCGAATTATGTCTAACGTAAGTAAGCCGAAGACGAACGTTCGAGCAGCAGGAGGAGTTAACTGTCCGTCCGCTCCATATACAGACGCCTTCGATAGTCAAAGCCTTCGATAGTCAGGGTAGTACCCTGACAATCCACAAGCGACTGCGCCGTGCTGTTCAATGGAGGCGAAGTTTCAAGCAATTAGCGAAGGCAGCAGAAGCTAATGAATAAGCAGGAGCTAAGGAGGGACAGCGTAATAATCTATTAGCTCGCGTGGTCTAGCTTCCATGGTGCTTAGGAGGAGCTTAGGAGGGACGCTGCCACCTCGCGTTAGCTCCCATGGTCTAGCTTCCTGAAAGCCTTGTGTGAGTGCTCTCTCGGGAGGAAGCCTTGGTTGGCAATCTCGAGGCTTGATGACACAATCGTGATGTCACCGCAATTGACCCACGCAAAATGTTTTGCATCTTACTAAGACGCGTGATACCTCGGCGAGCTTATCGAACCAGATCTGGGTGCCCCTTGGGGAAACCCCACCTTCTGTACTGTAGTTACTTGGTGCCCCCTGTCTGTATCCCGTCCAGCAACAAGCGGCGGCGATTTCGGAGCAGCGGAGATCTCGGAGGCGAGAAAAAAAATGAAAAGAAACGTCAAAATAGACAAAAACAACTCGATCTCCGAATAATCAGACCAACTGTTTGGGGGAACAAAACAACAGAAAATCACGGGCATCGCCCTGCTATCTTCTTCCTCTTGCCTGGTTGGTTGCATTTGTGGCTGTGAAACGTGTGATTTGCCGCGTTTATTCCTGCCGTGGAATGGGCTGCTGTCAGAACCTCAAAAAGCATTCCGGGTGTGAGGCGGAAATGAAAGGAGGTTATCCTGCAAACAGTGTTCATCTGCCAATGGGAACTGTCCCTGATAAACACAGATCGCGATATCATACTTCAACTGTGCACATGGGGCTTGACGTTCGGATGTGAGGTCATGTTTACGACCATAATTGTAACACCAGAAATGCATCCTGTAACTATGGAAACTGCAGCATACATGCCGTTACATATTATTTTAGCACATACTTAAGCTGGTACAAAAAACGTAACGACCAACCACCAATACTCAAAAGAACTTAACAAAATGTTCAATAACATCCTTTATTTTCGCCACTTAAAGAAGCCTCCGCCTTCGTCTGCCATGTTGAAGGCCGTCAAAACCACCACAAACAGCAACAAAATCATACCGATACCAAACGGCAACAGCAATCTGTTAGTCTGCGCATCCTTCCCAGCTTTATCACCAGCTGTCTTCCCCTTGACACCACCCGAAACAACTCCTTCCGCTTCCTCCACCGCATCCCCCACCGCCTCCCTCACCGCACCCAAATCCCCATCCTTCAGCGCTTTCATAAGCGCCGCTTCCCGCTCACTAAGCGCTGCCCCAAAAGCCTCCCTCCTCGTAGGCGGCGCCGGCGGGTGCGACCAGAGAAACCTGGTGGTGCGCCACAGCAGCGGCGCGAGATAAAGAGCGATCACCACATCTACCGAATAATGCTGCCGCTCCCGAACCTCCCTCTGCGCGGAGTGAAACACAAGGCCCCATACCATGGCAGAAGCCCAGCCGGGGAAAGCCTCCTGCCAGGCGCAAGCAGTGAGGGATGCAACAATCATGTGAGATGACCATAGGCGCGATCGTTGCAGCCAGCCACCATAGGGGCGGATGACCTTTGAAGCGTTTCAAGAGACAAAACCCACCTGCCAGGCGCAGGCAGTGAGCGCTGCGACGATAATGTGGCCGCTGAAGGCGAGGTCGTTGCAGCCGCCGTAGGGGCGGATGACTTTTGAAGCGTTTTTGAGGCACCTCAAGCGACGAAACCTACCTGCCATGCGCAGGCAGTGAGCGCTGCAACGATAATGTGGCCGCTGAAGGCAAGGTCGTTGCAGCCGCCGTAGGGGCGGATGACTTTTGAAGCGTTTTTGAGGCACCTCAAGCGACGAAACCTACCTGCCATGCGCAGGCAGTGAGCGCTGCAACGATAATGTGGCCGCTGAAGGCAAGGTCGTTGCAGCCGCCGTAGGGGCGGATGACGAAGCTGCTGAAGGCGCCAGAGGAGGCGGCGGCGCCGTGGTGAGCGCGGGCGTTCATTGGGCGCAGGAAGTCCACCAGGAATTGGAAAGCGCCCCAGTCAGGTTGATATTCTGGTGGGTAGTGCACCTGGGGGGCTGGGGAGGAATGAAGGGGAAAGCAGGCAGAGTTGGGCGTTGGGAACTGAGTTGAGAATTGAGTCCATGGAGCAGTGGTGGTGCGCGGGTAGTTCTGTACGAGCCTTAACACGTCCACTCACCAAAGGCCACGTCAGTGGAGTGGAGATAACCTGGTGAAGCAGATCGTGATTCCTGGCATACGGCACAAAGTATTTCTGAGCCCAGGGGTGCAAGCGAGTGGGTGCTACTGAAGTGTACCTATCAGTCCAGTGGTGGTGTGTGGGTAAATCTGGTGCGGGTGATTCTAAAGGCACACATCCACTCACCAAAGGTTTAGGGAGACAACCTGGTGAAGCAAATTGTGATTCCTGGCATACGGCACAAAATGCTGTGAGCCCAGGGGTGCGGGTGCTACTGAAGGGTGTTTCTGAATCCAGTGGTGGTGTGCGGGTAATCCCGAAGGTGCATAACACATGCACTCACCAAATGCCACGTCAGTGGAGAACTTGGTGAAGCATGTCGTGGTTCCTGGCATACAGCACAAAATGCTTCTGAGCCCAGGGATGCAGGTTCATCTCTAATGCTTCTCTGATAATACCAAATGCTCAGGGACTCACCAAATGCTCAGGGACTCACCAAAGGCTAAGGGACTCACCAAAGGCTAAGGGACTCACCAAAGGCTAAGGGACTCACCAAAGGCTAAGGGACTCACCAAAGGCTAAGGGACTCACCAAAGGCGACGTCAGTGGAAATAACTTCGTGTAGCATGTCGTGATTCGTGGCATACGGCACAAAATACTTCTGAGCCCACGGGTGTGGGTGCCTCGGACTCGTGCTACCGAACCTAGCCGCAGCGCACCACGGCCGAACCGCCGGGAGGATTGTCGAAGCGAAGGTTAGGAACCGGAGCAAGCGGCTGAGCCCGATGGTGAAGCAGTAGCGCGCGCCGAGGCCGATTCCCGAAGGGGGGATGCAGTTGAAGAGCACGGAGAAGGCGAGCAGCATGAAGAGCATGAGGAAATCGTGCAACTCGACGAGGCGCGCGCGGAGGAGCGCGGTGAGGGGCGCGGGGAGGTGGTCGTTGAGAGCGAGCAGGAGCCACTGGCCTGTGTCGGGGAGAGGAGGGGTGCCACTGTATGGGGAGGGAGGAGGCGGGGGGGAGGGGAAGAGAGAGGGGACGGGGCACGGGGAGTAGGAAGGTGGTTGTTGAGGGCGAGGAGGAGCCACTGGCCCGTGTCGGGTAGAGGAGGGGTGCCACTGTATGGGGAGGGAGGGATGAATGGGGAAGGGGGGAAGGGAGGGGCGAGGGGCGCAGGGAGGTGGTTGTTGAGGGCGAGAAGGAGCCACTGGCCGGTGTCGGGGAGAGGAGGGGTGCCACTGGGGGAAGGGTGGGGGGGTGAGGGAGATGAGGGGGACGGGGGAAGGAATAGGTGGTGAGGGGCGCGGGGAGGGGTGCGGGGAGGTGGCTGTTGAGGGCGAGGAGCAGCCACTGGCCTGTGTCGGGGAGAGGGGGGGTGCCACTGCATGGGGGAAGGGGAAGGAATGGATTGAGGGGCAAGGAATTAGGGGAGGGGGAAACGGGAATGTGGGTTTGGGGGAAGATGGGAGTAGATAGGAGTGCGGGCAGCAGATAGTGAGTCGAACAGGAAAGGCAAGGGGGGAGAGGGGAGGAAAGAGAGGTGCGCGGAGCACTGAGAAGCATAATGAACATGAGGAATTCAGGAAGCGGGAAAATGGGAGAGGTTCGGAGGAGGAGAGGCGGAGGGTTGGGGAAGGATCGGGGGCTGGGGGGATAATGGCCAACACGGCAGCAAGATGATTCGTTTCCCAATCCGAGGGACCCTACATTGTATTGTAACGGATTCACCTAATAGCGAGGATACGTACTTGTGCCAGTCAATGCCGACCACTACTGTAACGAACTGCACCAGCACGACTTCCACGGCGAACATCGCCACCATGAAAAGCACGCTTGCGAAGAACTTGGGAGCCGCGCGAAATTCTTCCGCGAAATGGCGAAAACGCGGGGCCTCGAAGAGCGCGAGGATCGCCAAGACGCCCCACAGACCGGGTTGCAGCTGCGACGCGAGACTTTGCGGAAGCCAGTTGGTTCGGCCTCTCACGTATTCCATCGCCACGTAAGCTAATCCGACGGTCCCAAGGCCCAGGATCCCCCGCCCGCCAGTGGGTCGCCGTTGATCCACTGCGGGAGCCATAACTCTCCGTGATTCTTAAACCAGGAGTATTTCGTGATAGTATCGGGGCCTTTGAGGTGACTACATGGAGAGGTGGCAAAAAGCGCTAGAGAATTTACTGGAGTTCGTGATTGAGAGAATTTCTCCAGTGGCCAATCGGGTGATTCATTCTCTCTCGGGGGGCCTCGATTTACTCGAGTGGCCACGAAATTGGGTGATAATTACTCGAGTGGCCACGCCAGGGGATTCCTGCTCGCTTTTTTTTCACCGGCGAATTACCCTATGGGGATTTGTAGCCCTGAAATTCCTTATTCGTGCGAGTGGTATTCCTAGGTAGTGTTCCGTTCTGTTCCGCAACTTAAAATTTCGCCAGGCTCACGGACGCGAAAGTGGCCCGCCCACTGTACAAGAAACTGACCAACAGTACATTGACCGGTCAGTTTCGGCCAAATGCGCGACCAATGAGCGTACGGTCCATCTAATTCCGAACGAATCAGCGATCGAGCATATAACTTCTCGATCATATAATCCTAAAGACCCGAAGCGAACAGCCACACCCCTAATGCACGCGCATGATTCGTAAAAAACATGCGCGGTGCATATGTTGCCATTGAGCGTCCAATCAGGCGCCATCATTGAATTCCCCATCATATACCGAAATGATCGGCCATAAATTCGCGATAAACTAAATTACCGCTCGTGATTGGTTTGTTTTAATCTCAGGATATGCTTTGCCATTGAGCGTCCAATTATCCCCGTCCAAATGAAATGGCAACCATATATAAAATAGGACCGCGCACTAACAAATATTAGTGCGCATATGATTTGTCCAAGTTTGTGTGCTTAGGGTGCATATAAAACATACTCTTAAATCCCATACAGCCATATAGTAAATTGTGTTTAATGAACGCATTCAAATATGATCGGCAATCGGTAAATCTTGCGCCTGATTAGACGCGCAGTGGCAACAAATGCACCACTCTATCTCCTGACCAATCGAGCGCGGTCGTTTTGCTGTGCCGGTTCGTTTCGGGTGAAATGCAGTATATGATCGCGAAGTCATATACTCGATCGCTGATTGGATGTTAATTAGATAGACCGCGCGCTCATTGGTCGCGCATTTGGCCGAAACTGACCGGTCAATGTACTGCTGGTCGGTTTCTTGTACAGTGGGCGGGCCACTTTCGCGTCCGTGATCCTGGCGAAATTTTAAGGTACGGAACACCACCTAGGGATACCACTCGCACGAATAAGGAATTTCGGGGCTACAAAGACCCATAGGGTAATGCGCCGGTGAAAAAAAAAGCGAGCAGGAATCCCCTGGCGTGGCCACTCGAGTAATTATCACCCAATTTCGTGGCCACTCGAGTAATTCGAGGCCCCCCGAGAGAGGATGAATCACCCGAATGGCCACTGGAGAAATTCTCTCGTTCGTGATTCCTTGAAGGGGCGGAGAATGAATCTGCAGGTATGTGCGACATTCTGCTTGGTTGGCGAAGGATGAAAGTGATCTGCTTCTTGGGTGTAATATTTCGTAGGGTTTCGTCACGGTCGCGTTTTTCACCTTGGCTACTGGTGGATGAAGCTGGGTTGCCAAATTACCTAGCACCAAATTTGTAATTTGAACGCAATATATGTATCGACGGTCTCATTTCCGACTACACTACTGGAAGGGCAACTTATCACAATTTTCTGTGTAAAGGAAGAAACTGACTACACGTGAGCCTAATAAACAGTTTTCACTGGTCGTCCCCGTCCCAGTTCAGAGGAAGAACCAGTCCACGTGTTTCATCGAGGTAAGGCCACATAGCCCCAACCCCCCACCACTCGCTGCAGGGGCATTGTAGCGACAATCGAACTACAATCCAATAAGGATTAGCCCAGAGAATCTCCACGACAATTCCTTGAGGTGAAGTAGCGTACTGTCAACAAGCACAGCAGAACAGATTCCGTTTGAACACAAGGCTGAGCGGCGCGACGGTATTTCGGATTCCGTTGTGCATTCACAGCCATGAGCTCTCTCGCAGTTTATCGATTGTCAGCCGCGACGCGTCACGCCTCGCTACATCATGCTAGTTCCCCTCGTGTATTTTCTCATCAAGAACTATCAGGATTAGCCTGCAAGGGCAGAAACTCAAGCAAGTCGAATGCGTTAACGTCTAGAGCACCTTCGTCTCGTTCTTCCGGATACCGTGTTGCTGACGTGTCTCGCTGTCGATCCAATCGCGTGACTCCACGTGCATCCTTGCCCTCCGTGCCTGTCGCTGATGGTTCCGCTCCGATTTCTCTTACATACCTTGAAGTAAGTTCTTTACGGCTTTCGCTCGTTTTCACTTTCCAGTTAAAGGTGACGTTTGGCTTTATGTGCAAAATGTCAACGGTCCCGAACAAATGTGTCGAGTACTGATTTCACCTTTTGTATATGGATGGCGTGAAACGTGTAGGCGGTCATATCATGGAGGGTACGAATGCCATGAACGCGTCACCTTATGTTGCGATAAGTCTCTCCTTCCTCCTCCTTCAACCTCGCATCAACCTGGCAGGGCATCAATTGGCTGTGGTCAGTGGACGGTGTGAAAGTGCTGGTCGATCCAATCATCGAGGGTACAAATTCCTTCAACGTCAATCTCCCTTCTTTTTCTCTCCAACCTTTTATCAACCTGGCAGGGCAACAGCTGGCTGTGGTCGGTGGACGGTGTGAAAGTACTCGTCGACCCGATCATCGAGGGTCCTCTGGACTTTGGGATCCCGTGGCTCTATACCGGGTACAAGAAAGTCCTGAAGTCGCTCTCGGTAAGACTTGCTGTCTTTCAAAGCTACTTATGAACCCACACGTGTAATCTGGTAGCCCGTGGCTCTATACTGGATAGAGGAAAGCGCTGAAGTCGCTCTCTGTAAGAAATGCCAGTCATATAGAAGCCCATACCTTTACCCTCGTAACCTATGGCTGTAGAACAAGTACCAGAGCTGAATAGACTTCCAAGTATAGGACTCCCCCACACCACCTCCCCTCCTCCTAATCCCCCATTTCCCCTTCCCCGCTTCCCTCCTCTCCTCACCAAACCATCCCTCTCCTATCCTCAGCTGGATGACGTTATCGATACTGACGTGGTTCTCATAACCCAATCACTAGACGATCACATGCACGTGAGGACGCTCAAGGCGCTGGCAGCTAGGCGGCCGGACGTCCCTGTGATCGCCACTCCCAACGGACAGGCGTTTCTGGACTCCCTGTTCTCCAATGTGAGTGCATGGAGGTTGATGTGAGTGGTGTGTGATGGGGGATTGGCTTGAATCACATGCACGTGAGGACGCTCAAGGCCCTGGCAGCTAGGCGGCCGGATGTCCCTGTGATCGCCACTCCCAACGGACAGGCGTTTCTGGACTCCCTGTTCTCCAATGTGAGTGCATGAGTGCGAGCATGGGGTGAGAGTGTGTGATGGGGATTGGGTTGGACCATTGGACGGCCCTGGCAGCCAGACGGCCGGACGTCCCTGTGATCGCCACTCCCAACGGACAGGCGTTTCTGGTCTCCCTGTTCTCCAATGTGAGTGTGTGAGTGAGAGTAAGGAAATCCGGTCAGAATGGTACATGCCCTCAGATGTTTAGAAAGTACTGAGTTGACTTTAAGAGAGAGTATTTTCTCGCTCACAGAATGGACACTCATTTTTTGAACTTCTGCACTCGTATATGAATGTGACGGAAAAATAACAGCAAGAGGAAATCACATGTTTACATGTTGTAGTATGGGCATTCCTGCCATTTCACACACCCCCCGCTCCCCACATGTCCTCCCAGGTGACATACCTAGAGCCCGGCTCATCCACCTCCTTTTCTTCTTCCAAAGGAGCCAGGTTGTCAGTCAAAGCGCCTCAAAGAGTCCCTGCCACCCCAACCCAACCCTCTCTTTACACTCTCTATTCCATCCTCTCAGGTGACATACCTAGAGCCCGGCTCATCCACCTCCTTTTCTTCGTCCAAAGGAGCCCGGCTGTCTGTGAAGGCCGTGCCTGGGCCTGTGCTGGGTCCACCCTGGCAACGACCAGAGAATGGGTGAGTAGCCGAGGGGGCCATTTGAAGATTAGTACACCATTTCATACTTCCCAAGGAGCTAGTTTGTCTGTCAAGGCCGAGCCTGGGCCTGTTCTGGGTCCTCCCTGGCAGCGACCAGAGAACGGGTGAGTGGGGAGGAGGCTTCTGATTATAGATTATTGAAATTCTGATACTTTCAAGGGAGCCGGGCTTGCTTCGAGGCAGTGCTTGGGTATGTGCTGGAACCACTTGGGTAGTGGCCTGGGGCCAGCCGAAGAACGGGTGAGTGGGGAGGAGGCTTCTGATTATAAATTGTTGAAATCCTGATACTTTCAAGGAAGCCAGGCTTGCCATTCAAGGTCGTGCCTGGCCCTGTGGGACCACTTGGGTAGTGGCCTGGGGCCAGCCAAAGAACAGACGAGTGGCTTAGGTGTATGTATGCAACATCTACCACACGTATTTTCAAAAACAACGTACAAGCCATGCCCATGTCCCTCTCCCTCTCTCTTCACTTCGAAATTGATGTTCCACTGTTCAATGCTCTCTGCTCTATGGCGTGTGAAATTTCTCCACCCAACTCCCCCTTTCCTCAACTCCCCATTCCCGCGCCTTGTGCTTCTGCCTCAGGTACATTGTTCGAGGGGGAGTGTCAGGTGCCTCTATTTATATCGAGCCACATTGTGTGTTTAACGAGGCAGCTCTTAAGGAGGGTGGCGAACGAGTGGATGTGCTGGTGACGCCGGTGGTGAAACAGGAGTTACCGGCTTTCACCCTCGTGTCAGGGCAGGAGGATGCTGTGAGGCTGGCTCAGGTAGTGGGCGCTAGGTAAGCAACGTGCTGGGCTATGTGATTTAATGCACTTTTTTTTACATTTGATTGAGTTAACTAACAGTTCGTGCACTGATCACATTGGCCTGACCCAGTATTGGCTGTATGCATGGTTGTCATTGTGATGTGCAGATACGTGGCGCCTATGGCTAATGCTGACGTGGACGCGTCTGGGATTTTGAGTGCTCTTGTAACTCCTATTGGCACACTCGATTCATTCAAGGTACGCCCCACTCTTTTTCTGAGCCACTTGTTAAGGGCTCAAAGGAAGCACCGCCTTCTCATTACTGTAACCCCAAATTGTTATGTTTTGCAGGAAATTCTTCAATCAAAGGATGGAGTTAATGTGGAGGTTTTGCAGATTGTACCTGGCCAGGCTGTATCTGTTACGGTGTAGATCTTCTATATTAGCTGTGTTGAGAAACAAATGTTCTGCTCCTGAACGGGCCCAGTTAGATACTGAAGCTTGTATATTGCCCATAAATCTCAAGAGATTGCAGACATTTTGTGACCGGAAGTGCTCTAAATGAAGGGACAGAGGGCCGCCACGTTGCCCCAGCAGTTGAAGCAAAAAGTTGGTGTGCTGATCATACATACCTGCACCGAAGACATCTCTGCCGCAACACTTTGAAAGCTATATGGAACGTTCTCCACCGATCTGTGACATCCTCCCCTAAAGTCGTGTCAAATCGTGATCAGTGTAGGGTTCAAATCAAGGCAATACGAAATCCTGGCCGTTTATACACGTGGTCAGAGTTTTCTAGGTTTGGCGGGAACGGTTCCGTTTCTGGAGAAGCGTGGACAACACCCAGCCACACGCAAAACTCAGGGAATGTCTGGTTATTGTCAGATCGCTTACTAACACTGACGTCACGCGTGTTCTGAAAGCTATCAAAAACTAATTGTTACCTCTTAATCTTTTGCTACTCTTGCTGAGTGAAATGGTGTGAACGGGTGGCTAGCTCTTGTGAGAGGCAAATAGAAGGCCCGCCAGAGGCTTGAAATTCTCTCAGTAGCTTCCAGTCGGCGACTAGCTCACAGAAGGCGGCGTCAATCTAAACAGAAGCCGTTGGTGCACGATGCCAGGCACGCGGCGGAGGGAGCGCAGCGACAACCTCTTGCAGCGCTTGCAGCACCGCGAGACGTTCCGCTCGCCGCCGTGCGCGCAGGCGAGTTTCGAGTGCAGCCGTTTCGCAGGTTCCCAGTTCGTAGGTCCCAGTCTCTGGTATCACTGGTCTCTTGCAGCACCGCGAGACGTTCCGCTCGCCGCCTTGCGCGCAGGCGAGTTTGATCAGCAGCTTTGTTTTACAGCTTTGTAGCTTCAGTAGTTTTGCAGCACTTGCTTTCAGTAGTCTTCAGTCTGTAGTTTCGCAGTCTCGTAGCTTGCAGCGCTTGCAGCACCGCGAGACGTTCCGCTCACCGCCGCGCGCGCAGGCGAGTTTCGTTTCGCAATCAACCGCTTGTTCTGCAGCTTCGCATCTTCTTAATGCGCAATGTCGCAGCTTCGCACTTAGCAGTCTAGTAATCTCGCAGTTCTCCAGGTTCACGAGTTTCGCATTAGTGCAGCCGGGTCGCATGTGATTGCAGCATCAAGAGATGATCCGCTCTTGCATCACTGCTCGGAGGCGGGATACCTTCATTCTCTTCGTCTTTCTCGTCTTTCTCAGCCTCTCTTTCACCTGTTCTTTCTCTCCCTCTCCCATCCTCAGCTGCTCTCTCTCTCTCCTCTCATATCCCTCCCCCAACCTCCCCTCCCCCCAACCCTCCCCTCCCTTCCCTCCCCCCTCGTTCCCCCCCCCATTCCACTAAATTATTCCTGTCAACCTGTCAATCTGGTTTCTCACCCTTTTGAGTCTGTTTCCCTAGGTTGCATATTCCAAAACTCCATTTTGAGCTTGAGAAGTCTCGTATTCCTCCTTTTTGCTGTCTCCTTTCGCCCTCCATATCTCTCCTTTCCAGTCATGGCTAACCCTCGTCGTACCATCCTCATGTGTTTTGCGTTGACTGGAAACATGCCTTTCCTTTTCTCCCTCCTCCCTTCTCCCTTCTACTTCCTCCCTTCTCCCTTCTACTTCCTCCCTTCTCCCTTCTACTTCCTCCCTTCTCCCTTCTACTTCCTCCCTTCTCCCTTCTACTTCCTCCCTTCTCCCTTCTACTTCCTCCCTTCTCCCTTCTACTTCCTCCCTTCTCCCTTCTACTTCCTCCCTTCTCCCTTCTACTTCCTCCCTCCGCCCTCCCCCTTTCTCTTATCTCCCTTCTCCCCATCTCCCTTCTCCCCGTCTCCCTTCTCCCCGTCTCGCTTCTCCCCGTCTCCCTTCTCCCCATCTCCCTTCTCCCCATCTCCCTTCTCCCCGTCTCCCTTCTCCCCGTCTCGCTTCTCCCCGTCTCCCTTCTCCCGTTTCTCCTGCTTGACTCCGTCCGCTTTGCTCTGAATTCTTCTTCAGCTACACTTGGAGTTTCGAGCTTCATTTTCCTTTCTTCCTTCTCCCTCCTCCCTTCTCCGGTCGCCCTTCCCATATCCCTTTTCCCGTCTCCTGCTTTAACGTGAAGTTGTAACGCTGTAACCCTCCTGCAGCTACACTCGGTGCGCCGCTTATACGAGAACATCATGCCGTCCCGTACGGTGTACAACACTAAGCTCACCTATGCATTCTCAGTGCACCTTAAAATTATATTTTTACCCATGTGCTGTGCGTGCAACCCTGTAACATTTTCAACCCTCCTGCAGCTACACTCGGTGCGCCGCTTATACGAGAACATCGTACCGTCCCATACGGTGTACGACGTCGAGTCACCGGAGCACGTGATTCGCCGGTTCAGCCACGATGGGCAGTACCTCATCTGCTTCTCGCGCAACGGCCTTGAGCTCATTGTGTACCGCTTCCACTGGTTCAAGTGAGTGACTCTGGTTCAAGTGAGCTCTGGTTCCTGGATGAGCTGGGTCCGCAGTGCAAGCGTGCTGCCACGATGGGCAGTACCTCATCTGCTTCTCCCGCAACGGCCTTGAGCTCATCGTCTACTGCTTCCACTGGTTCAAGTGAGTCCCGGATCAGTAATGGTCTCTGGATGAGCTGAGTACAGAGTGCAATGTTCAACCAGGATAGGCAGCAGTGCCTCATCTGCTTCTCATCTCCCGCAACGGCCTTGAGCTCATCGTCTACCGCTTCAACTGGTTCAAGTGAGTGGCTTTTGTCTGTCATTGTGGACGTTGGGAGAGTGCGGCATGCAACGTGCCAGTTCAGCACTGGTTAGCAGGTTCAACCACAGTGGGGAGTGGGCAGTACCTCATCTGCTTCTCCCGCAACGGCCTTGAGCTCATCGTGTACCGCTTCCACTGGTTCAGGTGAGTGAATTTCGTTCCAGTGAGTCTCAAAGCAGGTGTGGTCCTTCCCTGGGTGAGCTCAGTACATAGTGTAATAGCTCAGCCACGATGGGCAGTACCTCATCTGCTTCTCCCGCAACGGCCTTGAGCTCATCGTCTACCGCTTCCACTGGTTCAAGTGAGTGAGTCTCAACTTATAACAGGCAGAGAAGGACGACTACCTCTTTTCACCTCGCCTCTGCTCTCCCCCTTGTCCTAACTGTTCCCCACTTTCCCCTCCGCGGCCCTCCTACCCTGCTGCTCTCCCTCCCCCCCACCCAGCTATGGGGCGCAGGGGGCAGTGGCAGTGGCAGAGGCAGAGGAGGACGACCACCTACCTCCAGCTTCAAGAAAGTTCCCGAGCTACTTTGAGCAGCTGTACTGCGCTTCCTCTTCCCCCCTTCCCCCCTGACAGCTACGGCGCGCAGGGGGCAGCAGCAGTGGCAGAGGTAGAGGAGGACGACGACCTCCCAGCTTCTAGAAAGTTCCCGAGCTACTTTGAGCAGCTGTAATGCGCTTCCCTTCCCCCCTCCCAACCCCCCCCCACCTTTCCACCCAGCTACGGGGCTCAGGGGGCAGTGGGAGTGGCAGAGGCAGAGGAGGACGACCACCTACCAGCTGCGTCCAGGAAGTTCCCGAGCTACTTTGAGCAGCTGTACTGCGCTTCCTCTTCCCCCCTTCCCCCCTGACAGCTACGGCGCGCAGGGGGCAGCAGCAGTGGCAGAGGCAGAGGAGGACGACCACCTCCCAGCTTCTAGAAAGTTCCCGAGCTACTTTGAGCAGCTGTACTGCGCTTCCCTTCCCCCCTCCCAACCCCCCCCCACCTTTCCACCCAGCTACGGGGCTCAGGGGGCAGTGGGAGTGGCAGAGGCAGAGGAGGACGACCACCTACCAGCTGCGTCCAGGAAGTTCCCGAGCTACTTTGAGCAGCTGTACTGCGCGCCCCTGGGGAGGGGCAGCGAGGTGCTGTGCAAGGACCTCTTCCTCTGCTGCCAGGGGAGCGCTCTGCCTGCCTTGCCTTGGGCTAGGGGCACTGCCTGTGAGACGCTGTGTGTATCGACTCTCTATTCCCTTCCCTTTCCCCCTCCCCCGCTCCTCCCCCTCCACCCCCCACCCACCCAGCTACGGCGCGCAGGGGGCAGCGGGAGTGGCAGAGGCAGAGAAAGACGACCACCTACCTCCAGCTGCCAGAAAGTTTCCGAGCTACTTTGACACCCTCCCCTCCCCCCCTCCCACCCAGCTACGGCGCGCAGGGGGCAGCGGGAGTCGCAGAGGCAGAGGAGGACGACCACCTGCCAGCAGCGTCCAGAAAATTCCCGAGCTACTTTGAGCAGCTGTACTGCGCGCCCCTGGGGAGGGGCAGCGAGGTGCTGTGCAAGGACCTCTTCCTCTGCTGCCAGGGATCTGCCTTGGGCGTGTTTGCCTCGGCCACCCCTGCGGATTTGGCGTCTCCTCCTAGGGTGGGGGCAGTTAAAGGGGTGCCTGCTATGGAGAGCATCACTCTACACCTCGTCAGGTGAGGTCCAAAGGTTATTCTTGAGTTGACTGGGGAATCGGGTTGACCGTTGAGGTGCTGCTGTGCAAGGACCTCTTCTCTTCCTCTATTTTGAGGCGTCTCAAAACAAGGACCTCTTCCTCTGCTGCCAGGGGAGCGCCCTGGGCGTGTTTGCCTGGGCTACTCTCGCGGATCTGGCATCTCCTCCCAGAGTGGGGGCTGTGCAAGGAACTCTTCCTCTGTGCTGCTGCCAGGGGAGCACTCTGGGCGTGTTTGCCTCTGCTACTCCTGCTGACCTGGCGTCACCCCCTAGAGTTGGGGCCAGTTAAAGGGGTGCCTGCTATGGAAATCATCACTCTGCATCTTGTGAGGTGAGCGGGTGGAAGTGCCTTGGGCTGTGGGCACTGTGTGAAGCAACAGAGGGTGAGTTGAGTGGGATAAAAGGTTGAGGTGCTTTGCTGGGCTGTGCAAGGACCTCTTCCTCTGTGCTGCTGCCAGGGGAGCACTCTGGGCGTGTTTGCCTCGGCTACTCCTGCGGATCTGGCTTCGCCGCCCAGGGTGGGGGCAGTGAAGGGGGTTCCTGCCATGGAAAGCATCACACTGCACCCCAGGCTGGGTGTTTCGAGACGCCTACATCAATTAACCTCACTCATTGCTCCCCTTCACCTATCATAACCCCCCGCTCCCCGCCGCCTCCCCCCTTACCCTGCCTCTGTTTCTTTCCCAGGCTGTGTCACGGCAAGGTGGTGGACAGGAGGGTGTTTCGATACGACTATCTCAACCTCCCCCCTGCTTCTCCCTCACTTATGAACCCCCCTCCTCCATCGCTACTCCCCTCCTCTTCCTCTACTCGCCAGGTTGTGCGATGGCAAGGTGGTTGACAGGAGGGTGTTTTGAGACGACTACATCAACCTCACCCACAACGGAGGGAGAAAAGGAGCAAAGCACGCCTTCCCCATTCCTCCTTGTTCCTCTACCTCTCTCCTCTCCCTCTCCTCCCCCCTGCTGGCTCACCAGGCTGTGTGATGGCAAGGTGGTGGACAGGCGTGTGTTTCGAGACGACTACATCAACCTCACCCACAATGGAGGGGCGTTTCTGTACGACGACCTGCTCTCCGTGCTCAGCATCCGCTTCCAGAGGATACACTTGTTCCAGGTGAGGGGAGTGAAAGTCACACACAATCGCAACAGTTCAGGACTCTTTCTTTCTGTATGACGACCTGCTGTCCGTGCTCAGCATTCGGTTCCAACAAATCCACCTCTTTCAGGTGAGAGGAATCGAAAGTCGCCCAGAGGAGTTGAGTGAACTCAACTCAACCCTCACTGTGTTTCGAGACGACTACATCAACCTCGCTCACAACGGAGGGGCGTTTCTATACGATGACCTGCTGTCCGTGCTCAGCATCTGCTTTCAGAGGATCCATCTCTTTCAGGTGAGAAGGTTAGGTAGACGCCCAGAGGAGTTGAGTGAAGGCAACACTCACCTTGTTGTAGTGTTACAACAGAGGGGCGTTTCTGTACGACAACCTGCTGTCTGTGCTCAGCATCCGCTTCCAGAGAATCCACTTGTTCCAGGTGAGCTGAGTTATAAGGAGTTACTTCTCTCCAGGTGAGGGTGGTGGATTGGTCGGTTTGTGGATGTGCAGGTGGTGGGGCCGTTTGGGTGTGTGACGATGATGAGCTGCTGCTCTCATCCTACCTCTCCACCACTCCCCACCCCCCTGCACCACAGATCGTAGAGGCAGCAGAGCGGTTTGTAGACGTGCAAGTAATCGGGCCGTTCGGGTGCGATGATGATGAGTTGATGCTCTCATCCTACCTCTCCACCACTCCCCACCCCCCTGCACCACAGATCGTAGAGGCAGCAGAGCGGTTTGTAGACGTGCAAGTAATCGGGCCGTTCGGGTGCGATGATGATGAGTTGATGCTCTCATCCTACCTCTCCACCACTCCCCACCCCCCTGCACCACAGATCGTAGAGGCAGCAGAGCGGTTTGTAGACGTGCAAGTGATCCGGCCGTTTGGGTGCGATGATGACGAACTGCTGCTGCAGTCGCACTTCAACCCATGCCTCCCACCCTCCCTCCCTTCCTCCCTCACCACAGATAGTGGAAGCAGCAGAGCGGTTTGTAGACGTGCAAGTGATCGGGCCGTTCGGGTGTGACGATGACGAGCTGCTGCTGCAGTCGCATTTCCACGAGGAGTGGCGCTTTCAGCGGCATTTGGCTGAACTGAGGAGGAGGCAGGCCACGGGAGGGAGGGGAGGGGGTGGTGAGGGGAGTGGAGGTGTGGGAGGTGAGGAGGGGATTAGTGAGGGGGGTGTGGGGGGGTATACGGAAGAGGATGAGGAGGGGGAGGGGGAGGAGGAAGGGGAGGAAGGGGAGGGGAGAGGGGAGGGAGGTGAAAGGGGAGGGCGGGAGGGGGGAGATGGAGAGGAGGTGGGAGGGAGATTGGGAGGAGTGGGGGGAGGAGGTGGAAGGGGGGAGGGAGAGAGGGTGGGTGATGCAGAGAGGAAAGGCAGGAGTACGGTTTTAGAGGGAAGGGGTGATGACGGTAGAATGAGGGGAGAGGAGGGGAGAGTGGCGGATGAGAGGAGTCAGGGTGAGGGGAGTAGGGGGGAGGGAAGTAGCGGGGAGGGGAGCAGGGGTGAGGGGAGCAGGGGTGAGGGGAGCAGGGGTGAGGGGAGCAGGGGTGAGGGGGTCGAGAGGGGGACGGGACAGGAAAGGAAGTGGAAAGAGACGCAAGGATTGGGAGGAGGGTATTTGGATAGGAGGCAGGACGAGCAGGGGGTGAAGAAGCCGCGATTGAGACTGGAAAGTGTGAGGGAGGAGGGGGTGGAGGGGCATGGGAGAGATGAGTCAGGGGAGGTTGGAGAGAGGGCGAGAGGTGGGGATGGGGGAAAGGAGGGAGGAGAGAGAGGAGAGAGAAGAGAAAGAGCAGTGGAAAAGGCTGAGATTGTAAGCGAGGGAGTGGAGGAAGGAGGAGGTGGGGAAGGAGAAGAAGGGGAAGAAGTAAAGAGAAGTGAGAGAGGGGAAGGGACCACTGTAGGTGACGAGGGGGCAAGGGAAGAGAAGGGAGGAAGCGGAGGAGGAGGAGGAGGAGGAGGCGAGGAAAGAGGAGAGGAAACTGGTCACAGTGTCAGAGGGAAGGAAACGGGAGGAGGAGAAATTGGAGGAGAGAGAGGAGGAGCAAGAGGAGGAGCAAGAGGAGGAGCCGGGGGAATGGGAGGGGTAGCGATGTATGAGAGGCGCTATGGGGGGGAGGATGGGCGGCTGTTAGCGCCGCGCACATCCATGGGTCCCCCTGGTGGTGGGGGAAGGGGGAGAAGAGAGGGAGGGAGAGGAGGGGCAGGGGGAGGAGGGGCGGCGGGAGGAGGGGTGGCAGCAGGAGGAGCAGGAGCAGCAGGAGGAGGGAGGGGTGGGGATGTGTGGATGCAAGGTGGGGTTGCTGCTCACAGCCTTACCATGTCTACCTTTGGCTCTAGCCTCTTCAGCCTCTCGTATGGGCCTGACGGTCAGGCATCGCTACAATCGCCTTCCCACACCGCCTCACACACTCACTCCCACACTCACTCTCACACTCACTCGCATGCCCACTCCCATGGACATTCCCACGCTCACTCCCAATCGCACTCGCGTGCTCATTCGCACGAGCGTGGGACTGGGGGAATGCGGCACCACGGAGGGGCGAGCTCAGAGGGAGCAGCAAGAAGCGGCTTGCCGTTTTTCTTTGGAGCAATGGGAGCAGCAGCAGGGGGGAGGGGAGTGGGGGGAGGCACTGGGGAGGGCGGAGAGAGGGGGGTGAGTGGGAGGATGATTGGGTCTAGGAGTCAGGGAGAGGGGAGGGAGAGAGGGATAGGGGGAGGGGGGTCTGAGAGGGAGAGAGGCGGCAGGGAGAGGGGCAGTAGGAGACGACGCAGCAGACAGACGGGGGAGGGCGGCAGCGAATCGGGAACGGGCGGCGGTGGGGCGGCGAGTTATGTTGTCAGTGACAGGGGCGATCTGGAGGCGATTACGAGGCAGCAGTTGGGGGGAGGAGCGGGGGGAAGGGGGAGTGAAGGCGTGGGGGGAGCAGCAGGGGGAGGGGCAGCTGCAGGAGGAGGGGCAGGGGGAGAAGGAGAGGCAGGGAGAGAAGGAGGAGCAGCGGCAGCAGGAGCAGGGAGAGGGGTGAGGGGAGGAGTGGGAGCAGCAGAACTGGCAGGGGAAGGAGATGGGGGTGCGCATGGGCATGGGCATGGTCATAGGGATGGGGATGGCCTAGAAGGTGGACGAACAGATGGCACTGGTGGTGGGGGTGTATCCGCTCCCATGCCTGGGCCTGGTGCTGCCAGAGGTGCTGGGAGATCAGAAGGCCCTGCAGGAGCAGGAGCAGGAGCAGCAGGAGTGGGAGGAGAGGGAGGAGTGGGCGGAGGGGGAAGAGGGGTTGGAGGGGGAGGAATGGGAGGAGTGGGAGGAATGGGTGGAGGGGAGAGAGAAGGGGGGGTAGGGGGAGGTGGGTTTGGGGGAGCTCTAGCCGGGCTAGAGAGGGAAGGAGGGGCAAGGGAGGCCAGTGGATGGGGTGACGGGAGGTGGATGTTGGGGGGGGAAGGGGAGGAGGTGGGCATGAGGGGTATGGGGGAACTGGGGGTGGGTGGGGGGATGGTGAATGCTGGGGGGCTGTTAACAGGTGGCGGGTTGTTGAGTGTGCTGATGCAGCGGCTGCTGGTGCACGTATTTGAGTGCCACCTGGGGGATGCAGTGGGGTCGAGTGCGGTGGGGTCTGGTGTGGTGGGGTATGGGGATAGCAGCAGGGGAGACAGAGGAGGAGGGGGAGGCGGAGTGGGAGGAGGTGGTAACCAGCGTGTGAAGAGATTCCTGTATCACTTTCAGCACTATGCGGATCTGATCATATGGAAGGTAAACGTCATTTACTGTCGCCTCACAACGCTAGTGCCTGCCTGTGCCACTGTGTGGGAGTGGGAGGAGGTGGTAACCAGTGTGTGAAGAGATTCCTGTATCATTTTCAGCACTATGCGGATCTGATCATATGGAAGGTATGTGCGTGCATAGAGGCGCCTCACAACACTAGTGCTTATTCAACTCGCCCCACCAACCCATCAAGTCCAGTCCCTGTGCTCTTGCTCACTTTCTCTATGTGCCAGACCCAGCTGTTGGACCGCTGTCATTTGCTCATCCGCCTGGGCAGCACGGAAGGGGTCGTGCTGCGAGCGTCTGACAGCTTTTGAGGCACCTCAAAAGTCAGCTTTTGAGGCGCCTCAGAAGGGGTGGTGCTGCGAGCGTCTGACAGCTCCCATGCACCCATCAAGCCATTGTGGCGTCTCTCTTCCTCTCACCCACTCGTACCTTGTCTCTCGCCCCATACACCAGGCTCAGCTGTTGCACCGCTGTCATCTGCTCATCCGCCTGGGCAGCACAGAGGGGGTGGTGCTGCGGGGTCTCACTCGTTCGCACCTCCCGCTCCCACTTTCTTCCCCGTGCCAGGCTCAGCTGTTGCACCGCTGTCATCTGCTCATCCGCCTGGGCAGCACAGAGGGGGTGGTGCTGCGGGGTCTCACTCGTTCGCACCTCCCGCTCCCACTTTCTTCCCCGTGCCAGGCTCAGCTGTTGCACCGCTGTCATCTGCTCATCCGCCTGGGCAGCACAGAGGGGGTGGTGCTGCGGGGTCTCACTCGTTCGCACCTCCCGCTCCCACTTTCTTCCCCGTGCCAGGCTCAGCTGTTGCACCGCTGTCATCTGCTCATCCGCCTGGGCAGCAGAGAGGGGGTGGTGCTGCGGGGTCTCACTCGTTCGCACCTCCCGCTCCCACTTTCTTCCCCGTGCCAGGCTCAGCTGTTGCACCGCTGTCATCTGCTCATCCGCCTGGGCAGCAGAGAGGGGGTGGTGCTGCGGGGTCTCACTCGTTCGCACCTCCCGCTCCCACTTTCTTCCCCGTGCCAGGCTCAGCTGTTGCACCGCTGTCATCTGCTCATCCGCCTGGGCAGCACAGAGGGGGTGGTGCTGCGAGGTCTCACTCGTTCGCACCTCCCGCTCCCACTTTCTTCCCCGTGCCAGGCTCAGCTGTTGCACCGCTGTCATCTGCTCATCCGCCTGGGCAGCACAGAGGGGGTGGTGCTGCGGGGTCTCACTCGTTCGCACCTCCCGCTCCCACTTTCTTCCCCGTGCCAGGCTCAGCTGTTGCACCGCTGTCATCTGCTCATCCGCCTGGGCAGCACAGAGGGGGTGGTGCTGCGGGGTCTCACTCGTTCGCACCTCCCGCTCCCACTTTCTTCCCCGTGCCAGGCTCAGCTGTTGCACCGCTGTCATCTGCTCATCCGCCTGGGCAGCACAGAGGGGGTGGTGCTGCGGGGTCTCACTCGTTCGCACCTCCCGCTCCCACTTTCTTCCCCGTGCCAGGCTCAGCTGTTGCACCGCTGTCATCTGCTCATCCGCCTGGGCAGCAGAGAGGGGGTGGTGCTGCGGGGTCTCACTCGTTCGCACCTCCCGCTCCCACTTTCTTCCCCGTGCCAGGCTCAGCTGTTGCACCGCTGTCATCTGCTCATCCGCCTGGGCAGCAGAGAGGGGGTGGTGCTGCGAGCGTCCGACAGCTCCCATGCAAGCTGCTGCAGCCGTCTCTCAACCCACCCATCAGCTCCTTGTGCCCTTCCTCCTTTTATATGGTTTGCCACACTCACACGGCAGGCTCAGCTGTTGGACCGCTGCCATCTGCTCATCCGCCTGGGCAGCACAGAGGGGGTGGTGCTGCGAGCGTCTGACAGCCCATCCCTTTGTTTCCCCCGCCCACCCTTCAATCCCTGTCCTTGTGCCCTTTCTCTTTCAACCAGTTGCTCTCTCTCCCCACCAGGCTCAGCTGTTGGATCGCTGTCATCTGCTCATCCGAGGGGGTGGTGCTGCGAGCGTCCGACATCTTTAGTGCTGTTCTTCCTTCTCCCACTCTGTTTTTTGCCCCCCGCCAGGCTCAGCTGTTGGACCGCTGTCATCTGCTCATCCGCCTGGGCAGCACGGAAGGGGTGGTGCTGCGAGCCTCTGACAGCTCCCACCAGAACTCTTTTTTCACCGTTTACAACTTCGTCACCACCAGAGTGCTGTGCTTCTATCAGGTATATTTGAGGCGCTTAAAAGGTGAGATCTCCAATTCTAAAAGGTGAATAGGCGGCATAGCAGTGAGTGAAGGGGTGGTGCTGCGAGCGTCTGACAGCTCCCACCAGAACTCTTTCTTTACCGTCTACAACTTCGTGACAACGAGAGTGCTCTGCTTCTATCAGGTGAGACTGTATAGTAATGAGGGGGGTCAACTGAGTCAACTGGGTAACCAGGTCAACCGGGTTGAGAGCATCTGACAGCTCCCATCAGAACTCCTTCTTTACTGTCTACAACTTCGTGACAACACAGGTGCTCTGCTTCTATCAGGTATGTTTGAGGCGCATTTCAGGTGAGTGCTCTCTGCTTCTGGAAGGTGAGTAGACGGCATAGCAGTGCAAAGGTGGGTGGTGTGACAACCCGAGTACTCTCTGCTTCTATCAGGTATGTTTGAGGCGCATTTCAGGTGAGTGCTCTCTGCTTCTCTCGGCGCTTGAGCATTTCTGCGACCACTTCTGAGTCGACTCGAAAGTCACCTTCTGGTTTCTCTCTCCGGACTTCTGCTGCTGCTGCTGCAGAACTCGTCGGAGGACTTTCTCTCGGCGTTTGAGCATTTCTGCGACCACTTCCGAGCGCCACGGCACCACGGCTTTTGAGGTGCCTGAAGGCTGAAAGATAATGCTTCCTTCCCCCCTCTGTGGTGACTTTTGAGGCGCCTCAAAAGGCTGAAAGAGATTGCTTCCTTCCCCCCTCTGTGGTGACTTTTGAGGCGCCTCAAAAGGCTGAAAGAGATTGCTTCCTTCCCCCCTCTGTGGTGACTTTTGAGGCGCCTCAAAAGGCTGAAAGAGATTGCTTCCTTCCCCCCTCTGTGGTGACTTTTGAGGCGCCTCAAAAGGCTGAAAGAGATTGCTTCCTTCCCCCCTCTGTGGTGACTTTTGAGGCGCCTCAAAAGGCTGAAAGAGATTGCTTCCTTCCCCCCTCTGTGGTGACTTTTGAGGCGCCTCAAAAGGCTGAAAGAGATTGCTTCCTTCCCCCCTCTGGTGACTTTTGAGGCGCCTCAAAAGGCTGAAAGAGATTGCTTCCCCCCTCAGTGTTTTTATGATGCAGAACTTGTCGGAGGACTTTCTGTCTGCGTTTGAGTATTTCTGCGACCACTGCATGCTCATATTTCTGTGACTCGCCGTTTATTTGTTTAATTGCTCGCTTCTTCCTCCCTCCGTGTTTTTTTGTGCTTCAGAACTCGTCGGAGGATTTTCTATCTGCGTTTGAGCATTTCTGCGACCACTTTCGAGCGCCACGGCACCACGGCTTTTGAGGCTCCTGAAGGCTGAAAGATAATGCTTCCTTCCCCCCTCGGTGTTTTTGTGATGCAGAACTCCTCGGAGGACTTTCTGTCTGCGTTTGAGCATTTCTGCGACCGCTTTCGAGCACTACCACGTTTCAACATCGTTTCCTATTTATCTTCCTCCCTGTTTTCGCACTGCAGAACTCGTCGGAGGACTTTCTGTCTGCGTTTGAGCATTTCTGCGACCACTTCCGCGCCCCGCCGCGGTCTCCAGCCGGGTTTTCGTTCATCAGCAGCTGCGCCAACAATGTGTTTGCGCGCGAGGCGTTCAAGAAGCAGAAGGCTGCTCTAGTCACGTGCAAGGGCGGATCACAGACGCAGGTGAGGACACCAGCAAGCAGGCAAGCAACCCATCCTACTGAGAGGCGTTCAGGAAGCAGAGGGCTGCTCTTGTGACGTACAAGGGAGGGTCACAGACACAGGTGAGCGAGCAAGAGAGCAAGCAAGCACAGGTCGAACCCATGCTCACTACCTGAGTCGATATGGAAATCACATTTATAAGGTCCCACGCTACCCTCCATGTGTTCTGTCTGGCTCCGCAGGCAATCAAGCGAATGCTGGCTGCTCTTCCCTACAGTGCAGTGCCAATCACCTGCTCATGTACTCACTTTCTGAGTCGCTTCGCTTTGACCTCATGCTCACCCACCCCCAAAATTTCTGGCTCTGCAGGCAATAAAGCGAATGCTGGCTGCTCTTCCCTACAGTGCACAGACCTACTCCCCATCTCCCTACTTCGACCAGTCGCTCTTTCATTTTGATGAAAAGGTGAGGGCCAGCATTGATGGGTGGGTGCAATTCTCTTTGTACAGTAACCCAGTGACCCTCATTAGCATGCCCCATCCTCACCAGTACGCCTCCCTCTGCTTCCACCGTCCCATCTCACATCCGATTTTTGAGGCGCCTTTTGAGGCGCCTCAAAAGTAACCCTCACTAGCCAGCCTCCACCCTCACTTGTGCGCCTCCCTCCTCCTTCTACCGTCCCAGCTCACATCCGACTTTTGAGGCGCCTTTTGAGGCGCCTCAAAAGTAACCCTCATTAGCATGCCTCCATCCTCACTTGTACGCCTCAATCTGCTTCCACCGTCCCGGCTCACATCTGTGTCAGACCGGCACAAGCCCTGTGCGGAGCACCCAATTATGTTCTTTCTGCAATTTTTGAGTCGACTCAAAAGTAATCGTCACCCGCCATTCCTCCTCTCCTCCCACCCATCCCAGCTCATATCTGCGTCGGATCAGCACAAAGCCCTGTGTGGAGCACCCAATCAAGTTTATCCTGCGACTTCTGAGTTGACTTAGAAGTAATCATCCCCAGCTTGCCTCCTCTCCCCCACCATCTCACTCCAGCTCATATCCGCATCGGATCGGCACAAGCCCTGTGTGGAGCACCCAATCAAGTTCATTCTTCGGCGCCGGCCAAATGTCCTCAAGTTCAAAATCAACCCAGGTATACCAACTTCAGGCTCTCTGATTTTTATGGAACGCCAGGTTTTCATGTCGCCTCTGTTACGCTGCACCAGGTCTCTGGGCTACAGCTTGTGTTTTTTAGTCCTACCTCAGTCGGGAACATGCTAAACCATATCGTGATTTGTTTGACTTGATGCAGGTTACGAGTCTGCTAACCCAGATGCGCGGATAAAAAGAGTGGCAACATATATCTTCCATCCATTTCTTCCCTTCGCCATATCAGTGCAGCAGACGTTTATGCAGCCTTCGGTTGTCAACTTCCACTTCCGAAAGTGAAGCCTGCACAATATTGTTTTCGCGTGAGAACGATGTCTTTGAAATGGTTGGAAACACAAGGAGATTTGAAGACAACCAAGTCACCTCCTTGCTTATGATGGGCATAACCATTACAACCATACATACTACCGTAAGCTCTGCCAACTTGGCAGTTAATACAAATCAGATCTATGAAACAATTTGAAAGTCAGATGTAGACACTGCCAGTAGGCACTGGAAGTGCAAGCCAACCTGCAACAAGACAACAATAAATTATCTCCTCTTGCGCCAGACTGTGTGACCCTTGTTGATCTCTTTCTTGCTGTCCTGAAGCCGTAGGATGTGCGAGAAGTGCTGAAGCTCTTCAGGGCTCTCTCTCTCCACCAATGTTAACAAGCAGACGCCTTTCGCTTCCCCCGACTCCTTTGACAAAAGGACACCATCGGTGGTGGTGCACTGTTTGATGGCCTCTGGTTTGGCAGCTGGCACTGTGTGACTGGCCAATGTCTCCACCATATCGTTCTGACTGCATTCTCGCCGGTACTCAATGCTTATTTGAGCCAGCTCCGAGCTGTCGACAAGATCCTGGGGCAAACTCTGTAGGGGGAATGATGAGATTTGAAAGCGAAATGGAGAGGGCGAGAAGGGTGAGGGAAAGGCAGACATATTGGGAGAGGTGAGCGAAAAGGATGGAACGTGAAGGAGGGCAAAACTGGGAAGCGAAAGGGTCTAGAAAGAAAAACATGTGTAAGATGTCCTTAGTCATGGAGCATGTTGAAATAAGGCATAGCGAGGGAGAGTCCAGTTTGTATGTTTACAGTTCATTCTTGGTGGCTCAGAACGGCTCCATATGGTGTGAAACGGTTTTTGTGCTTTGCCGTTTTGCACCTTGACACAACCAATTAGACTGTGAAGGACGTACAACCGCAAAGAACGTACAATGAGCGTACGAGTTGGTTACCCCCTAAGGTAGCAACCACTTACTTCGAGCATCCATGCAATGTAAGTCACATTGTTGACATGCTGATTCATGTCCAGGTCACTTCTTCTGGCCTGCAAGAAGTGGCGGCAGCAGCAATGTGGCATTTTCAGTAAGAGCCGCTTAGAAGGACTGAATTGATGGGACCGTTCAGAACAATAGACATCATACCGCTATTATGGCATTGTGAGCTTATGAATAGCGTTGATGCAAATAGCATATTACGGAACAACACCATTGACAACGATAGCAACCACAGCAACAGCACTCACACAGAGACTTGATTTTGAATGGTCAGCCGGCTCTTTGAGCTTCGGCAACTTGTCCACCGCGTCTGGGGGAAGAGCATACCTGTTCAGAGAGGGTTCAACAAATACTTCACGTTTACTTCAAAACTTCTATACTTTCGTGGCGTAAAGTTGTGTTGCTAATAAAATCCCCACGGGAGAAACTTACAGGGAAGGATTAGGGCAGTGAACAATAATCTCCTCCCACACGTCAGACGGAATTCGAGCCAAACGACGTGTGTTGGAATTCATCATCACCCAGGAGCTGCACAACATAGGTATAAACCGATCAGCCTTCTACGATAAGAGCAAGAGGAGTTATGCATACATAGTACCAGAATTTTCTTACCTGGTGCCTCGACCAATGACGTCACCAGATTTTGACAACCGAATGATCCAGTCCCGCCGTGTCAATATGTTTGACTCTAACTGACACCACGTGTCAATTTCAACGACATCTCCCCTGTTATAAGACAAGAACGTAAGGTGAATTCTACAGTTAAGTCAGAATGCATCAAGAGGCACAAAATGGGACTCGAATGAGAGGTTGAAATGAGGCTCTGAGCACGTCATTTGAAGAGTTACCAGGTAGGATACTTGTACATCTCGATGTGGATCCGAGTTGTTGCCCATATTAAGTTATGTCTCAGCATGCCTGGCGTGGTTGCCAGACCGTCCTTAGAGAACCCAACGCTGTGAGCATGATTGGTCCCCACCTCCTGGAAATCCAGCAAATGGATCACTTATATAAGCTCATGACCCCTGAATATGAGATCCATAAACTTCAGATTTTCGGATTGAATCCTCTTACCTGCAATAAATTGGCGATAGTTTCTATCGACGCGGTCTTATGAACGCCGACTTCGTAACACCTGATGACGAATCTCTCTCGGTAAACGCTCCCTCCTTCGAGAAGCGCACCGAGCTGCTCGGAACCTCCCTCCGTCCAGATCAACCCTTCGTCAACGCCAGGTACATTGAATGAAGATGCATGCTCTTGGATCGGTGAGGAGGGTCGGCCAGCTATCGCGCCATTCTCCGACTGTAGTAGCGGCGCTTTGACACTAGTCGTGGACGTACTGTTTTTTTCCGAGGATGTGTTGCTCTTCTCCAGAGACGTGACAATGGGAGAGGAATTGCCCGTGATAGCTACAGCGACAGACAAGGAGCCCTTTTTATCTCGTTGAGAGCAGATCCGTCCTCTTCCGATCAGTGGTTGAGGTTGCGGAGCGATCGGCCGGGAAAGCGTTCCTACAAAGTCCATAATTTCAGTCGATGAACGAAGCCAGAGCACGGTTACGACGAAACTGCTCAGTCACCAAGATCGGTCCTTCCAGACGCTGGCCAGACTGGAGATCTTCAACGAGAGGAGAGTAGAAGAGATTCAACTGACAAATGTACGCTTTGAAGCCGATAGACAAACCAAATGGCGCTAGTTTCTCGATTTCCCTCCTAAAATTATGTGCTTGTTGGCCCCTGATTGCACAAGCTCCTCAGAAAACAACTGCCAGAGCAGCCATGGTGTTGTTGAAACCGAAACCGAGGGGTTGGCTTGACTGCAAATACGTACTGAATGAGAAAAGGGATGCAGTAACAGAGCGACCAGATCGCACAGGTCCACACCACAACACCCGATCGCAGCCGTCCACTCGACTAGGAGGAATCTCTAGGCCGGTGATCCACGCAGAAATGGCTGGCCCCTGGTGGTCCAGCAATTCCGGCGACCGAGCCTAGGGGAGCTGGTGAGCGGAAGTATGGTTCCACCAGACCTGATGGGTTGCGTTTGGGATTCACAAATACAGCACAAAAACATTTCCTAGATTTCAGCGAGTGCTGGCTTTGTGCAAATATCGAGGGAGATCACGGCGGTGGAGGCACGTGTGATTGTCCTTTCCCCGCAATCTAGTGGCTCAGGGCCGATGGCTTCCATACATTTCCTGTCTAGCATTATTCGCCAGCCAATCAGTCGAACCTGGAAAGCTGAGCTGTCGAGACTGATTTGTATTTTTTGGTCACAGCAAAACTTCCCTGGCTACCGAGGCCGCTACCGGGGGCAAGACGATGCTACCGAGCGGAATATATTGGTTGTACCATGCTCACAGCAAATTCAATTCCTTGATAGGTGTAGTGTAGACCGTCACCATATGCTGACGGAACTATTCCTGCCTACACCTCTCAAGCATGAAGCAATGAAACGATATATTTGTGTAATGTTGCTATTCTGAACCCATCTCTACACGTCAAAGCTTAGTGAATGCAAAAATGCTGTCATGCAGGCTCCGCTAAGCAAGCAACCATGCCTACACGCTGTATGCGCGATGTCAATTCCCTGATAATCACAGCAAGTACAGCACCTTCCGGATGACAACACATTCACAAATTTCAGCCGATCCTAACACTGCGACTGATGCTGGACTTGATACCGGTCGATTCACCACCGTAAGGAGCACTTACACGCTTGACGTCTCGCACCTGGCCCTTGCGCCGAACCACAGCATTCGCATGCTTAAGCTGTAACCACAAAGAATTGACAAACAAAATAAGGGTAAAGTAGTTTGTTCAAAGGAGTTAACGACAAAGCGAGGGAGGAAGCGAAGTGGGGAAAAGGGAGGGGAGAATGTACTGGCATTTGCAACAAGGATGTAGTGGGGAGTGGGAGGGAGCAGGAGGGGGCTGGGAGGGGTTGAAGTGGGTGGGAGGCTGCTCAAAATGTGTGATACCTGCACTAGCATTTGAATACCTCGCATTTCTTGCGCTACCTGCTCTATTTGCATACCTTATACTTCTTGCAAGGGTTCTTGACCGCCTTGTTGCAGTGTTGGAGGGGTTGGAGTGGGAGGGGGCCTGCTAAAAAATAGTGCGACCTGCACCAGCATTTGCATACTTGGTACTTCTTGCGCGGGTTCTTGACTGCCTTGTTGCGGTGTTGAAGGGGTTGG